TCAATGCATGTTATAGATGTAACAAATTGAAAGCAACACGAGACAGAATGGGAAACAAAAGAATTAGGGACAGACAGGACTCGAATTAAAAGTTGTTCAAGATTTAGAACAACAAAAAGAAAGTATGTATATGTACCACTGGGTTGCAGTTTGACTTATTGCAACTAAAGGCTCCCGCTTCATTGGATTTCATACTGTTGTACTTTCATAATCTGTTATATAAAAAAACCTACTCACTTTGTTCAAACAGCAAAGGTGCTTCTACAAAATAGGCTGAAAGCTCTTTTCACACGACTAACGAATACGAAGGATCTGCTAAGGATAGCTGAAGAGCCTTATTCAAAACCAATGATGTTGGTAGTCGACATAATCGCGGAAAAATGAATAACTTATGACACGTTTACGATCATCACTAACTATCATGATGCAGTTGGTATTATTGCTTCATTGTCTTGTTGACAAGACCTCAAACCTAAGGCTTAAGAAATGACCCCTCCAGACAGCAGTTAGTTCCGCTCTTACTACCCGCGTATTACACCAGAAATCACACAAAAGATGACAACGTTCCACAATTAGGATTTCGAAGCTCTTACACCATCTAGTTATGTATTTTATATTATCTTCAACTGCAGACTGTAACTTAATTGTTAGATTTTTTCCTCGTTTTTATCTCAATCATTTTGCAATTCTTTGGATCTGTCTGTTTTCACTGTTTTAAACCACTAAGCAGCTGCTTCTGGTGATACGTCAGACAATTCATTTTCAACAGTCACATCTTGATTTCGATCTCATGAAAGACAAATTTGACTACAACCCTAAAAAGCTTTCCTATTGATGTGCTATGTCTCAAAAAGTTGTCAGAAGGTCCCGATAAAGTTTTCTATCTGTCATTTCTTGAATTCAGTTTCATTTGCACTTATCAGACGACTGTAAGAAGACAGCATTTGTCTTTGCTGGTGTCTGTGTTGCATTTAACTCGAGAGTTGGAGTTCCACCGCTCGACTGAGTTCATATTTACAGTCATCCAGTTTTGTTAGACTAGAAAATATTGTTAGAGTAACGAGCAAGAGACTATTTCTTCATATCCATTTATACTGCTTCAGATTACAGCCTGGATACAACTACAGTTCGTTTTTGTCACCCACTGAGTGATCCGAAGCATGTGCTAGGGATTTGAATGCACTGGTCCGAGTTCTAGACTTGGAGGACAACCGTTAATACGCACAGTGCGGATTGGTTAACTGTTGGTCAGATAATGGAAATCATATTCTGTGGATTTTGATGATGTGAACTTATTTGTTAGCACCAGCTTCTGGTACATTCGTATCTGACGTCCTCTCTTTTTCGTTCGACTCAAGTAAACTATATCACTATGCGTTACCGATGAAATGAGTACGTTCAAGAGTTCATCACCTGGAATGCCTGTTCCAATTCTTACGATACTTAACTGTATTGTTCGTTAACGAAACGTCTCCTGCAAACAGAGCATTGTGAGCAAATCTGTTGAACCTTGTTTTAAAACATCTCATATCGACTCCTATCAAAGTTTAACAACCGATCCACTAGTAAGTGTAGAGAATACTGGCTTCATTTGCTAAATACCATGAAAATGGAAATTAGCTTTACGCTTGCTGCTTAGGAAGATGTCTCGTCGATCATCGATGTTTCTTTTCTAGTTTTTATTACTTTCTTGTTACTTACTAGTTCATTGTAGTCCATATGAAACAAAGTAATTCCCGTAAGCCTTATAAGCGAGAAACTATAAAACTCACACTTTGATAAAAACAGTGATTTCAATGGCTCAATCACGTCTTACACACATCATCGAACGAGTGTTTGTGTCAAACACTATGTTCCACTGTAGATTCAAACGGAGGCGTCGAAACTGACTTTTTGCCGTAGGATAGAAGTCGGTTGTACTTAAATTTATTTTATGTGCCTTCCTGTCATTTTTTACGTATACCCCCATTTCTGAACTTTTTCGTAACTTCGCTTTATTATTTACTGTGATGATAAATAAATAAATACATAGATTCAAGCCCAATTAAATTTTCTTTGACCTAGATAACCAGCTGATGTCGTAAATGTAGCTAGTAATCTCGGGGCTACTTTAAAGGGTCATCATCATCATCATCATTATCAACATAGGACCAGGCATTACTGCGTAACGGTCCGAGTTGCCACACCTCATATCAGCACATCAAGTAAAAAGGTAGTGAGGTGAAGGATGAAGATAAGTGAATGCAGTCAAAAGAAATATAAAGTATGAGAAGAAAGGAAAGAGGAGTGACAAAATAGTGAGATTCGGTATAGCGTTGTTAAGATGAGGATAATGTGTGTATACATCTGCGCCACTGACTTCGGTTCTGAGCCATATCACCTAGGGTCTCCAACCACTGGTTCCTCTTGTCCCGTGGACCCCAACCACCTAGTCTGCATCGTCCTACATGGCTTAAACCAACAGTCAGAGACTTCATACATTGGTGCCATGTTTTAGTCTGGCCACCTCGGGCCTTTTTCCAGCCTGAACCCACCTCAGCCAACATTGTGTGACGAGGCAATCGGTGACTAGGCATACGTAGTACGTGTCCCAACCATCTCAGTCGATGAAGGTTCACAACCTCGTCGACTGACTTACCTCTTCTCCCTAAAACTCTACACCTAACTTCTGCATTACTCACATGGTGACACCACGGAATACGTCCTATACTACGAAGGCAACGGTGGTCAAATACCTGTAACCTTCTCATGTCTTCCACTTTCAATGGCCATGTTTCACAGCCATACAGTAGAACAGAGCGGACTGCTGTGCAGTACACGCGACCCTTAATAGACAAACGAATATCACGGCGGCGCCATAGGTGGCGCAAATTGGCAAAAGCCAATCGAGCCTTTTGTATCCGTGCAGAAATCTCATCGGCAACTAACCCACCGGAGTTGATCCTACTTCCCAGGTAAGTGAAGTGGTCAACACACTCAACCACTTCACTCTCTATTGTTAACCGCGGTACCGCTGAAGACCAGTCCTGGAGCAAAAATTTGCATTTGGGTGGTGAAAATCGCATCCCAAACATTCTCAAATTCCCACTCAAAGTGTTCAGAAGACTCTGCATCTTGTCAGCGTCTTCACCTAACAGGACTATGTCATCTGCATATTCTAGATCTAAGGAAAATTCACCTGTGTCCGGTCAACGTCTTTGTAATTAGGTGACGAGAGGGAAACCTCCATAAGAATATCTATGATAAAATTAAATAAGAATGGGGATAGTGGGCATCCTTGACGGACACCACTTGATGAGTATAGCTCCCTGGACAACTCACCATAGGCTCTAACATGCCCACAAGTGTTCGAGTAGAGAGCTTTCAATAAGGTGATGTACTTACTAGGCACGCCTTTCAGTGACAGACACTGCCATAAGACTTCTCGATCAACGGAGTCAAATGCCGCCTTCAGGTCGAGAAATACAGCTATTGTCGGGCGTCTGTAAGCATGCCTATGTTCCAGGACCTGGCGCAGTGTGAATATTTGGTCGATACATCCACGGCCAGGTCTAAAGCCTGCCTGGTTTTCTCGGGCTTGCTGTTCCCGAGCTCCACTCAGGCGTCGGAGAATTATAGAACTTAGGATCTTAGACACTATGTTTGTCAGGCTGATTCCTCTGTGGTTATCACAAGAGGACTTCTCGCCTTTCTTGAAGACTGGGATGATCAGTGACTTAGACCAGTCGGAGGGGATCGTATTTGATTCCCATATACTGGCTAACACTTCCGTTAGCCTGACTAAGAGAACTCTACCACCATTCTTGTATACCTCAGCAGGTAGTCCGTCTGGTCCTGCTGCCCTTCCCCGTTTCAGGCTACCTACCGCTTTCTCGACTTCTTCTAGTGTTGGGGGACCTGTCTCTATGTCCCATTCAGGGTCCGACTGGATAGCGGGCAGCGCAATGGTGGCTGGAGGCCAGTTAAACTGTTCCTCAAAGTGTTCTGCCCATCGTCCCAGTCGCCTTCCCTGCGAGTGAATCGCCGATCCGTCCTTCTCCGCTATAACCTCACTAACTGTTGTTGACCATTTCCCCCCAGTCTCCTTAATAAGTCTAAATAACTGTCTACTGTTACCGATCGCCGCTGCCTTTTCCATCTCTTTAGCCTTTGCTGCCCACCACTGTTCACGATCGTTGCGCAGACTTTTCGTCAGTTTATTTTTAAGTTGCGCTCGCTCTTCATTGTACTCAGAGCCTGCAGGGATGCATTCACGTGCATCCATTAGTTTGGAAGAAGCTGCTGATATCCACTGGCTCTTTTTAGCCATTATCTTGGAGTCGGCTACAGTCTCCAGTGCTGCTTTTACAGTAGACTGAAGATGGCACCAAGCTTCTTCTGGATGAGTGACAGTCTTTTGTTCCGATAACTGCCTAGCCAACTTCTCACTGAACACGGCTTTGGTGTTTTCGTTGTCCAGCAGAACTCGTAGTGGTTTTGTTGCCAAATTTTTTCTACGTCCATTGAACTTTAAAGGGTACCCTAGCAACTGCGGAAATAATCAATCAGGTTTCGGTATTTCGGCTAGAAAGGTAGTTTTCCATAAAATATAGCTGCCTAGTTGGTTATCTCAGCAGTTGCTAGGGTGACCTTTAAAGTTGCTCACAATCTTGTACTTTGATTTTTACGCAGTTACTAAGTCTGACAGGTATTTCTTCTTGTACATGCATTTCTTATAGCCCATTATTCCATGCATATGAAAGTTGATTTCATTTAAAATCACTACTGGTTAAGCAGTCATTAAGAACATTGAGGTGCTGAACAGTTTTCTCAAATAATTTTCCAAGCTCATATGTGTGATAAATCTGTGGTTCTAATTAGATGTTGTCGTGTATAGAGCGAATCCTTTTCTGATTCTTGATGAATATTCCACTATGACAAAAACCACTTAGTAGTAATCCAGCAAGAAAGCTTTCAATCTTTTCACTTCAATATTTCTTGCTTTATTCAACAAATTGTAGGTGGTTCTGGCGCTCGGTGATTATATGGATATTAGTTGTCATGTTTGCATCGGTGGTACACAAGTGTCAGCAGATATGGAACAACTCCAAATGGGTCAACAAATTGTAGTCGGTACACCTGGACGTGTATTGGATATGATAAATCGAGGCTGTCTACGTACACAGACTATTAAAAGTTTTGTACTAGATGAAGCGGATGAAATGCTTAGTTTGGGGTTTAAAGATCAAATTCAAGAAATTTTTCGTTCCCTTGATCCAGCTGTTCAAGTATGTTTTATCTTTTTTTAAAATTCGCAATTATTTCGTATCATTTTTCACAAAAATTTCCACCGTATGTTTGCTTTCCTTTTTTCACACTAAAGTGCATTTTAGCTCTGTTTTTTTCTTCAGTCCTTTCAGTCTTTTATTTCTCCAGTATCCTATTGTAGAGTAAGCAGCTTTATTAATTTCTCTGTTTTTTTACGAAGAATCCGCATTTACCTACTGAGTAGCTAGAACTATAAAAACCATATTTCAAGGTTGTGAAGTTACCTAGATATAACTATGGACAATAAAGTGTGTGAGGAATGTTATTCATTAAATGATACTGTTACAATGTGCCGCTAACTGACTGACAAAATCAACTCAGAACCTCACACAGGAGTGTATCATGGGCTGGAGTTGCCACACTTTACAGTAGTATACAAACAACAGGTAGATAGAAGAGGAGTGATATGAAAGAAGACAAAGTTGTGCGACAGTAAAACAATTTGGAGATAACGGTTAATGTGAATTTTCAAGCTTTAGAAGATTTCGAGGAGTAATTACATCTAGGCAATTGTAACCGATTTTCAGTCATGTCACAAAGAGACCTCAACTACTTGTTCCTTTCGTCACGAGGGCATTGCGTCATACTTTTAATAAATCAACTAAAATGGTTTTATTAAACGATGGAAGAAAACATATGTCTATACTCACTACTGATAATGAACTACTGAAAATAGTCAGAATGTTAGTGTGTATTTGTGTCTGAATGCATGATTCATCAACATGAATGGTTTCTTATTACACCTATGAAATCTATCTGCTTCTAATAGTGTGTTCGATTACTCACTATTGTCCGTTTACAATTACTGGCATGCTTGTTGACACTGAGATCAAAATGAGTCTGTATATTGTTTCAGATATGGTTGTTTAATTAGTGAAGTTATATCAAAACACGACTTCTCTCTAACTTAAAAAAGTTTGCGGTATTCATTAGCTCAGTATTTGTATTTTAGACAGTAATCATTAGTCATTTTTATATTCATGAAATTTACTGTTTCGTCACCAAAATTCTCTCATAAATACTTATTGAATCACGATTTTAATTCTAAGAATGACTGTAAATGCATAATTCACAATTATGAAATGTTGAATTACCATTGCCTTTTCTGAAAATATGGTTAGTGTGCATCTAGTGTTTTTCGATAAAAAAACTTTTACCTTTGTTTGTCAACTTCTGAAATGATTTAACATGTGTGAAATAATACCGATTTATTGTAAGTTGTCACTAGCCTGTAATCTTTCCGATTATCAGAAGTGCGGTTAATTATCTTCGTTACCAGTAGCTGGTTGAAGGAGTTGTCTGTAATTGGATTCATTAATTATCAGTACAGCACTTACTTACTGGTTTATGCATGAACGCTAAAATCTTCGATATAATTATCAAACGATAATGGATAGTGGCTAGCAGTGGATAAAGGACTCATGTTTCATCTTATTTGGAACTCGCCTGTTGGATTTACCTGCTTCTCAGTAACTGATTTGGTCCCCGCTAAGACTCGAACTAGGACCAGTCGCATAAAGTGAAAAGCGTCATCCACTGTCACAGAGTCATGATAACTACTCCTTGTGCAACTGGTATCAGTTTTTGTTCATAGCTTGTGATTCACCGTAGTTTAAGAAGCACGCCTCCTGGATTCTTCTGCTAGTCATTATCCGTTATTATTGTCAAAACTGGAAATACAGGTACCGGCATCAACACGGGTACCTATGGGCCATTCGTAGCCGACCGATTCGGCCCAACCAATGGGGGAGACTTACAAGCTATGATATCAAAAATCATCAAGTCTACAATTTACTCATTCAAAATCATATACACGAATCAAATGTTTCACAGTGAGTGTAATTTAACCCTTGAGACGTTGTGGGAAGTACTTCAGTGATTACGACAACGACCACCACAACATCATGATCCTTAAAGCTTAAATATGTTGTGATGCTAATAAATAAACGTAAATGATTTGAACAGTTTTACAACCAAGGCTTTTTCCCGTCATATATTTCTTCCCTCTCCTCGCATACAGATTATCCACTTGAATTTCATTCTCTTCCTATCCACTTCGTCTTTGTGGGCTTCAGTGAAGTGTATCCACTTGAATTGATGTACTTTTGTGTAATTTTCGGCTTCGATCTACCTGCTTGTCTTGTTTATATAAGTTTTTCTCATAACAGCAGTAATGCAACTATGCTATCTATGATAACCTTGTTGAAGACATGAGAAGGCTTCAGGTGTTCGACCACCGCTGCCTTCATAGTATAAACCGTGTTCCGCAGTGTCACCACATGAGTAACACAGAAGTCAGGCATAGAGTTTTAGAGAGAAGATGTAAGTCAGTTGACACGGTTGTAAACCTTCACCGACTGAGATAATTGCCACAAGTGTTGCGTATGCCTAGTTGCCGACTACCTCATCACACAATGTTGGCCGAATTGGGTTCAGTCTGGAAAAAGGTCCGGGGCGACCAGACTAAATCATGACATCAATGTACGAAGTCTTTGACTGTTCGTCTGAGCCATGTGGAACGATGCAGACAGTATGGTTTGGTTTGGCGAGACATGAGAAACCATCGGTCGGAGACTCTAGTTGATATGTCTGGGAACCGATGTCAGTGGTGCAGATGTGTACACACATTATCCTCATCGTAACCGCAATACCGAATCCCACCATTTTCTCACTCTTCCTTTCTCTCTTCTAGTACTTTGTACTTCTTTGACTGAATTTTCTTCTCTTTATCTTCCACTTCACTGCCTTTTACTTGGTGTGCTGATATGAGGTGTGGCAACTTGAACTGTTACGCAGTAATGCCTGGTCCTATATTGATGAATGATGATGATGATGATGACCTTGGTCGACAGATTGTGTACAAATAGATGATGATTGCTGTTCGTTAGTAAAACATTGGTACTGATCGAGAGAAATTGTGTTCAGTAGTTGATTAGTATAGCTTCATTGATAATGTAGCAGTCAGGTAGGTAGTATAGGAGCTATTTATTAGCAAAACTTGGTGACTCAGTTTTCAACGTTAGTCATATCTCATGTTATGGTCCTGAATAAGTGTCTGCTTAGTAAAGGAGTTTTACTGCAAATGAAATCAATAGAAATTTGGCTCTTGTTTCGGTTGAACGCTTGTTATTTTCTTTGTTATTACGTTCATTATGGTTGATTGACAACTTATGCTGACTCATTGCCCTGTTGTCCTATACTGCCTTTTGTATTTATTTATTATGCTACTGAACTATTTATAAGTAGGACGAATTATGCCTTCGAATTCAGAAGCTTAGTGTTCTGACTGGAAGCTGTGTGCATGTAGAATAAAGTAGTATATATCTTCACATATGATGGATAGCATTAAGCTGTGATCAGGTAACTAATTAGAATATTTATTAATCCACTGGCTGTTAGAGAAGTAGGTGGTGAAGAATAGGTTAGTATAAAAAGGAATGGGGAATTACAATACTGTCTTATTGTATGCACTGAAGTGTTTGCTCTGTACATCATGGATTTTCCCATATGATTTGTAATATCGTATATATCTTACATTTGATTTGGTTTTCCTTAATGATATTCTACCCTAATGACATTTAAAAATGCTGTGACAACAGTGACTGCAATAAATCTTTAGATATTAGTATGAATGAATCCACACAATTAGACAGGTACAATTTTTATAGAAACATGAGAGTTGCTAGCGAAAAAGATGACACAGTGAATATAGGCTAATTGTTATCTGTTGCAAGTTATTTTAGTGCTTATAATAATTCTAATGTTGATAGAATAACTAGCTGATAGAACTGGTAGCGATTATAAATAGACCTCAAAATTATTCAAACACAGAATAATGAATAAAAAACGCTAGACACCGTCATTAGACTTTAGTCATTGTTAATCTACTTGAATAGAAAATAATCTCTACTTTTTTTCTATACCATATACTCTTAACAAAACTAATATCATTCACACTAATTAATTACTTCATGTGTTTACTTGTGAGCTAACAATGGGTTCATGCAAGTTAAAGACCTCGAAGCATATTCCACGGTGGATTTAGAAGCGAATTCAATCACTTGAACCCACAAATATCGGTAGCAGATATCCAAGTTTTTCAACTGTGAAACACATCATTGAAGCAGGTCACAGGATTGACGTTTCTACAACCTTTAGGCCTATTTACAAAACGTATTTGAAGACGGATCCTTAAATTTATTGACGCCTTAGTTATTGCTAAGTTTAGACCACCTTTATGTGTTTAAAAACAATTTGTTGTCACATTAAACGTCTCTTGGTGAATTCAACAATGTTATTTCCGAATGGTATGTTTAGATTACGGTCTTGACAATGGAGTAATATCATAGAACTTCATAAAATTAATGTAGTTTATAACTTATTACATAAATAAATGTTCTGGGTTGAGATGTATTTCAATACGTATAACTTTGAGGCAAACTGAAATTGTTACTTGTTTCTGATCCTTATGTTGTAGAGCATTCATAAATAGTGTTTATTTACTACTGAAGTGGCTTTTTGTAGAAGTAGATTCTCAGTTACCTCTAGTGTTTGAGTAAGAATTCATTTTATTCAAGACAAATTACTTAAGCCTGTAATCGGTCATTATAAAATCAAAAATACTAACGAATAGATTGCAAGTCCTAGTCAACAATGTCTGACATAATTGTTTTAGCGAATTTCACACCTACAAAGTGCAACAATGTTTGTAATGGCTAATGCATATGTTGCTTAAGAGTTGAAAAGTTGTTAGCCAGTTGTCAATCACCAACCATATTACATACAGATATATTTTCCACTTCATGTGAACATATGATTAGATTTATCTGAAATGACCATTTGCTGACAAATATTTATTCGGTTGAAATGATGCAAAACTCTGTGTTTATGATGTCCTGGCACTCCTATTTTCTCATAATTGTGTTAACAATAAAAAGGTATTACTATACGCTTGGTTAAAAAGCTAGCTGAGTGCAATTACTATTATGAAATCTGAACGAAGGAGTAGGTAACATCGTCTGAGCAGTTTGTTTCGAATAGCCACTTGATGTATGCTAGAATTCTTTATAATTCCAGTTAGTTCCTGATTATTTGCTCCTTAACATATAACAAAGATGAACAGCTTTGGTAACTATGACGTATAACCGTCCCTACCAGACTAAAATATCAAGGTAGATATTTTTAGCTGCATGATTTCTGCATTGATGAAAGTAAATGAAACAAGAAACCTTTGAAATACAATTATTATGAAGGTGAATAGCATATCCTCCATTAGATTAGATTAAAGAGTTGTAACGTAAGCGTTGTAAGTGTTAACCACTTAAGTCTAATCATGTTGAATAGGTATAAAGTTCATTCTTATGCATTGATTTATCATGAAAATCCTCGTTAGGTTATCTCTCATATCAATGAATTCAAAATAAATTGTATTTCAGTTTTGTTGTATGCAAACTAAACCAACTATTATTCTCTCTTCCCTTTAATTTTCAGGTCATATTACTATCTGCAACAATTCCGAATGAAGTCCTTGAAATAACAAAACACTTTATGCGAAATCCTGTACGTATATTATTGAAACAAGATGAATTAACACTGGAGGGTATACGTCAGTTTTATGTTAATGTTGAACAAGAAGAATGGAAATTAGAAACATTATGCGATTTATATCAAACAATAACGATAACACAAGCTGTGATTTTTTGTAATTCACGTCGAAAAGTTGAATGGTTAACAAATGAATTGATTGAACGTGATTTTATCGTCTCAGCAATGGTGAGTAGTAATAATATTATAAATTCTAAAAAAACTGTTGTTCTCGGTTTGCTTACAGTAATTAACAAAAAATAAATAACTGAGCAAAACGATATAGGTTGATATAGCTTAGTTATACTAACTCTCTATACCGCGTCATAGGTGGAATGGTATTCCATCCCAGGGATTGTTGCTTGAATCTCGAATGTACAAGAGATTGAATCACATCTTCAAAAATACTATTTATTGTTAGGGTGTGATTACTGGCAGTCATTTGTAGTAATTCATATCTCAACTAAAGTATTACTACCTAGATCGTTTGTTATGTTTACTTGGACACACGTTTTTTCTTAGTTTATAGTTATAAAAACCTGAGTATGAGCATAATTATTGTCCATTGTTCTTTCAAACTAACTGCATCTATCGATATTTAGGTGAAAAACAAACAAACTACCCAGGATTTCGCACAATTGTTTAGTGGTTTAACTAATCAAACTTCACATCAGTGTGGCAAAGGTAAATCTACAAAAGTCGAGATTTGGAGAGAAATACCAATATGGATGGATAACAGCAACTGTGAAAAACTAAGAGAATAGGCAAAAATAATCAAGATAGAAATAAAAAACCAAAACCGTTCTAAGGTTTTAAAACGTGATGCATTGATGGGTTTGCGTCACTCTCTTCTAAAGTCTACGACTATTGATTTCCACTAGCTTTGAGATCATGTTCGGGAGACTTACACTTCCTTACACAACACAGACTAATAGTCATCAACTGGTTTACCTGTCCTCTCTAGAAAGATAATGATTGTCAAATAACTAGGGTTTTCACGAATCTTCTATCTTCAAATAACCAAGTTTCACTGTCTAATATATTAGGATACAGCATAACATTAGGTTCGCGTTTCGATAGACAACCATATATCTTCGTTACAAGTGGTGTAAATTAATCAAACTTGTTAAGATTTCATTAGTCACTAACCTATGAATATTAAAAAAACTTGGAAAATAAGTTTAGCGGTTAATAAACTCGACGATTTCTCTTTTTGACAGTTTATGTGAACGATGTAAACAAGATTGGTAGCAATGCATTTCATGAGTAGTAACCTCGAAAGATTGAGCTGTTTAAATAGCTGGAATCCTAACTGAGTGAGCGATGCTTAAAGGAAATATTCGAAAATGCGTATTGTTAATTGTACACTTTCTTGTTATGGTTCTCAAATTGGTTGACTTCATTTATACTTCTTTCCAGTTATTAGAAAAAAGGAGTGATAGTTTTTTTCAAACCAATAGAATTCACGATCATCATCGAGATCAACATAGGATCAGGTATTACTGCTTAACGGTCCAAGTTGCCACACCTCATATCAGCACATCAAGTAACAAGGCAATAAAATGGAAGATAAAGAAGGAAATAAAATCGGTCAAAATAATTAGAAGTAGTAAGAGAAAGGAAGAATTAGGTGTTGAGGTTAGGTATTGCGGTTACGATGAGGATAATGTGTGTATACATCTGCACCAATGACGTCGGTTCCCAGACATATCAACTAGAGTCTCCGACCGATGGTTTCTCATGTCTCGCCAAACCAAACCATACTGTCTGCATCGTTCCACATGGCTCAGACGAACAGTCAAAGACTTCGTACATTGATGTCATGATTTAGTCTGGTCGCCCCGGACCTTTTTCCAGACTGAACCCAATTCGGCCAACATTGTGTGATGAGGTAGTCGGCAACTAGGCATACGCAACACTTGTGGCAATTATCTCAGTCGGTGAAGGTTTACAACCGTGTCAACTGACTTACATCTTCTCTCTAAAACTCTATGCCTGACTTCTGTGTTACTCATGTGGTGACACTGCGGAACACGGTCTATACTATGAAGGCAGCGGTGGTCGAACACCTGAAGCCTTCTCATATCTTCTACCTTTAATGGCCACGTTTCGCAGCTATGCAGTGGAACAGAGTGAACTGCAACTAAGTATACTTGACGCCTGATAGACAGTGGAATATCGCAGGAGTTCCGCAAATGGCGTAAGTTGACAAAACTCGACCGAAACCTTTGTATCCGTGTAGGGATTTCGTCAGTCACTAACCACTGTCCCTGGGCTGATCTGACTTCCCAGATGAAGTGATGTTCAACGCGCTGAACCACTTCGCTTTCTGTTGTTAGCCGGGGTACCGTTGGAAGACCAGTCCTGGAGCAACAATTTGGATTCGGGTGGCGAGAAACGCATCGCAAACATTCTCAAAATGCCACTCACGGTGTCCAAAGGACTATGTCATCTGCGTATTCTTCATCTATCAAAAATACTCCTGTGATCAGGTCAATCCTTGTGTAGTCAGATAACGAGACGAAGACCTTAAGGACATCTATGATAAAAATGAATAGGAATGAAGAGAGTGGGGATCCTTGACAGACATTACTCGACATATACAACGTAGCCGATATCTCACCGCAGGCTGTAACACGCTCACAGGTGTTCGAGTAAATTAGTATCACAGAATTGAAAAAAACGCTTCCTCTTCGTGTAACTAGTTTTTTTTCTACTGATCATTTATAATTTTTCAGTCAATTGTAACATGTTCGTCACTTGATCCAAACAAGAATAAAAAGTTGAAATCCAGTCGAAATTGAGTAATCAGTTGTTGTTGCACTAAATTTAATGGGGAAAAGTATGTCTTCTGTACTTGTGCTATTCCACGGTTGTTCAACTGACATTGATTAATACTGGTAAAAAATATGTAAAAGTTGTATGATATTTTATTTCGAACTCTTTGGGATGATTATTATTTTTTTAAAGTCATATTTTCAACGCTTTTGCACGTAAAAAGTACATTTTTTTAATTATTATTTGAAAGGTGATTCATTAACCTAGTTACTTGGCTTTCAAAGAATGAACTTCAACTTCTTACTCATCTTCCTTATTTCGATAAGGATAACCACTTAGTATCATAAGAATTTACGGTTAGTATACTTACAGCTCAAAACTTAGACGTGTACTACGTTTTTGAATTGTATTTCCTTATAGGAAATTCAGTTGACAAAGATTTGTGGTGGTGATATTCCTTTAGGACTTTTACTTAAAATTTGTATATTCTTAACTGCTAAATTGTGATTTGTATTCCTTCTCTACTTGTTTTTCTCAAGTATCATGCATTAGAATTGTAGCTTATCATAACTTTAACACATAAGTGTACTGGTGATCACTATGTAGATATAAACATATAGATATTTAATTTTGCACTATCTTGTATACCTCACAACTTCTTTTATCTGTCCTCTTATACACCCTTGTGTTATATATTTCAGCACGGTGAAATGGAGCAAATTGAACGTGATAATATTATGGCTGCATTTCGAAGTGGTTCAAGTCGTATACTGATTTCAACGGATTTACTATCACGTGGTATAGATGTCCAACAGATATCACTTGTAATCAATTTTGATTTACCAACAAATTTAGAAAGTTATATCCATCGGTAAATTAATTTTATCATGATTCTTGTTTTAGTCATGATTCTTACATCATTTTCGTTGACCATTTTCTTTATATATATATATATATATATATATATATATATATATATATATATATATATATATATATATATATATATATATATATATATATAATTCATTACTTTGCTTACTTACTATAATCCTGTAAGCGATTTTTGGTGATCCTGACGAGATAACGAATACGCACTTGCTTCGAAATGTTTGCCTTCATCTTATAAATGACTTTGAAAGAAGACTCTCATGGAGCACAGTGACCAGATGTAACCAAATGGTCAAGAATCAAGCTATTGGCGGCTCTATAATATCCTTTAGACAGCTATGCAGGATAGTATTCGGAAATGTGTTTAAATATGCGATCTCACTAGAGAAATGAATTGGTAAACATACATGCAGGTAACCCAAAGCGGTAGTTTATCCATTAAACACCCTCAAATCAGTTGTTGACTGGCGAAAAAAATCCGAATCTGAGTGGGAAAGAAGGTTTCCAGTTCTTTGCACAGTCGATTCTTCAGTATTTCTGTCAGTTTATCCCCCCTGAATCCAATAAACAGTGTCTTTTTAGAAACCGTAGGAGTTTGTTCTTTGAAATTTTCAGGCCTCATCTTCCCGTATATATTTGTTTGTGAAAAAGTTCATTGTATGTTTTATCAGACGAACAAATTTTGTCCTAGATGTTTCTCATATTAACTGATGATATTTTTACTTGCAGTGGATACTCTAACACCTTTAGTCTGTGAATGACTATCAGTTCCACGTTAAACTTTTATCCTTTTTGAAAATAATCAAAATTAAAGAAGTGATCGGAATCATGAAGAACTAATCAACTTTCTCCTAACTTGGTAACTCTGACAGTTACAGGAGCACCAACTTCTTCATAGATCAGAACAAATGCAACTCACTGCAAAAAAATGTTTATGCTATAAATTAGACATATTTTGTGATAGTTTACAATACTACTTAGTTGCCCAGGTCAAAGTAAATAGGGCAGGATTACAACCTTGAACCTATGACTTGGAAGTTGAAGGGACATATACCAGAGAATTAGATCCCCATTTGTCCAGAGGATCATTTCAGTTTAAATTGTTTTAATTCAGCGTATTTCAATAAAAGTGTAGGCTGTAGCGTTCTTTATAAATAATATAAATCACTTGTCGTTGCCAAAAACCACACTTCAACTGATCCCACTATGGCTAAAATTTCAAGGATAAAACCGTCACATTAGAAAGTCGATCCAATAACTATTGATACCCTTTTAATGTGACAAATAAGTTTACTTTTTATCTGATAAATTTTGGGGATTTTAGTGCTATACATCCACGTATTCTGTGTTGATTTAAATTCTTTTTCCATTTTGTTAATTTCCTGATAATCTAATTCATTGTTATACTGTTGTATGACTCAAATTATATGCAGACGTTGTTACCTATGTAGCCTTTAATGCTTATCGCTGCGACTCATTGATGTAAACAGTTAACTTCTAACCAGTGGGTCATGGATTGGAATACCACCTTACCAACTGAGGATTTGGCAGCCAGGTATCATCTTTAGCCCTCATATAATAGGTGTGGTTCACTGCCTACTGTACGAACGTGTGCAAGATTGCTGGGTACGTTTCATTCGGACTGCTGATCAAAATCGTGTTGGGGATTTCCGGAGGAAAGTTGAATAATGATGAAAGATATTGCATAATGTGGTGAATGAAGACTGAATTGATCGTGTAATGTTATTACCATGTATTGATGATGATTGGTTGTTAAATTGTATGCAGTAATGACTAGATTCAGGTGAACTAAGGCTCATGAACCTCAAAGGTACATTGAATAAATACTAAGGTATTTTCAAAGTATGGCATTTCGATACATTTCCATACACCAGATTTACTTGTAGGATCAGAGATGAAAGCCGAAGGAGGCTAATAATCACCAAAAATATTCGGTCATTCTGCTAATAAACAAGTTGACCAGATAACTGTCAGTAGGACTCTACTGCGGACAAAGTAATGAAGCTTGACAAATATTCTCTACATAGAGTTGTCAGTCATTTTCAATATGGTACCTGGTAGTACTTTATTATAACCATGCAAATCATTGCACCTCGTATCAAGACAAAAGACAAAGTAACGAAGATAATAATATAATCGAATTCATGGGAAAGCATCAATAATTTGAAGAAAGGTCAAAGGAATTGTTATCGATTCTATGTCATATTATGCAGAGTCTACAATCAGACAAAAAGTATCCTTTCAGCTTAGTTTGTTTATAATGTATATAAAATTTTGCAGACATATTTCTACTCATATCATTATTTTATTATTGTTTAGAATTGGGCGTGGAGGTCGTTTTGGTCGTAAAGGAGTTGCTATCAATTTTGTCACTTTAACTGATCAACGTATACTTAAAGATTTGGAGAATTTTTATAGTACTAAAATTACTGAACTTCCAATTGATGTTGCCAATTTGTTTTGATGAAATGTGCAAAATATAAGAGTATTTCGTTTTTGTAAAACAGAAATATATATGAGATATGTGTTGTTCTTGATAATAAATGGGAACCTATATCCGCATCGATTGTTGGATAGTAAAATTTATCTCAAGTTTCATTTTCATATCTTTCTCTTTTTTTTTTGTTTTGTGGTAAATTGTTAATCCCCAGACAAGTGTATAAAATTATGGTGCATCGAATGGTTTTACCTTTTCTCTATACGTGTAAAGTTAACCTAGTAGGTATCCATTTTAAGGTTATTTATTATCTTAACTTCGTTTAGTCTCTTTCACCTTTTGTTCACAAATGTATAATGTAATTACTATTTGTTATTTTGTAACTTATGCGTTTTATTTTCTGTCTGATAAACTTTACTTCTTCTATGTATTATTGTGTTCAGTGTTTCGTTTACTAATTCATTCATATTATGGATGTTTCTACTCTTAACTACAATTATTTGTAAACTTTTTAGATCAGTTGTCCAACTACTCAGTGGATTTCGTCAACTGCTTGTACAACCGATTATTATTCTTATCTGAACCCTTTTTAAAAAGATTTTTTTCCCCCATCAATCACCTTTGTAGCAGGTAATATTCATCTCATGTTTTGAAAAATTGTAGTATTAGTTGATTCTTGATTTTCTTTTCAAACTTTTGTAAAATGAAGCTGACACATAGGTAGTGTTCATGAAAAATTATAATAAACTTTGTATTTATTTACTTTCCCTTTCTGTGTTCAAATGTGATTACTTTTAAAATAATTTAAAAGATAAGATTATTTCCCTTTATAAACTTCGACAAAACAATAAGAGGATGTGAATTGTTTGAACTGTGTAATGTATTTGCGCAACACATTTAGAACAATCTGATCACAAACACATACTTGTCATAGCTGAGAATGTGAAAAGAGGTGAAATAGGAAGGCTGAATTAAAGGCCAAATAACAATAAAAATCAATGGAACGAAAATAATTGCACATCGAAATTCCTTTCAGAGTTGAATTCACCAAGAAAGATTTAGTGTGATAACAAATTGTTTTTAAACTTCACGATAGCTCTAAGGCGTCAATAAACATAAGGATCTGTCCTCAACCCGTTTTGTAAATAGGTCTAAAGGCTGTAGAAACGTCAATCCTATGACCTGTCTCTACGTTATGTTTCACGATAGAAGAAGTCGAACATCTGCAACCGAAGTTTATGGGTTCAGGGGATCGAATTTGCTTTTGAAGATACTGTGGAATATGGCTGGACGCCCTTCTATGGATCTATGTGTCTTTCCTATGTATGTGTCACCGCATGTACATTTGAACTGGTAAATGCAGTAGGATGTAACATTGTCGGTCACATGCTCTACTGGTTTGGGAGAACATACAGGCTTGACTGCATAGTAATTCCTTCTAACAGCATCATTAAGTCTCTGATTAAGGATTACTCTATGAGAGTTAGCTTTATAGGGAGACTGATGAAGACATCTTCCTTCGGGACCAAGTAAAGAGTCGGTTTTGGCGCTCTAGTTATTTTCTGCTGGCAAATAAATTTTGATGATAGTTGTTTTCCCATTATGTATGTGATCAGATTGTTGAAAATGTATTGCACAAATAAATACATTACACGTTTCAGATAATTCAGGTCTTGTTATTCTTTCGTCAGTAAAATTGTTGAAGTTATGCATGAATATGGTGATGTCTCAACTCCCTCTTTCTTGATTGTTTACTGTTTTTTTCACCCTACAGAACATCCGTCTGTAGGTTGCTAGTTCGCTCCACTTCTACGTACGCATTCTGATTTCCTTCATATTCCTCTCGTCTTGTTTATTTATTTAGAACCATTACGGTTAAATAGAACCTCGCCCGGTTAACTAGTTACTAGCCAGTCCTAAGCCAGGGTGAAGAGAGATCGGGCGTAGGGCTACCCCGTAAAACCAGTCAATCGCTATAGAAACTTCAAAGCACAGACAAAATATAAAAACTAAAAACAAACTTATTCCTCGCTGGAATCGGAGAGAAAGCGAAAGTAAACATGGGGACATGAAATGTCTGCACTATGTTTGAACCTAGCAAGGCCGCCCAGATTGCAAAGGAGATAAGAAGGTATAGCACTGAAGTGCTAGGAATCTGCGAAAGCAGATGGACTGCAAGTGGACTCTCCAAACTATCAACTGGAGAGTCAATAATCTACTCCGGTCACCATCAACGGGAGGAACTTAAAGGAAGTAACCTCCTTCACCCATCTAGGCAGCACTGTTTCAACTACAGGCGCCACAGGCACAGATGAGGACGTCAAAACCAGGATAGGAAAAGCAAGACAGGCGTTCACTAACCTGAAATCAGTGTGGAGATCTTCTGCACTCAGCATAAAGCGTGAACAAGATCCGGATTTACAACAACAACGTCAAGTCAGTGCTTCTGTATGGCTCAGAGACTTGGCGCGTCACGAAAGGGATTCCCAATAAACTACAGACATCAACAACTGCCTACGCTGGCTCGTTACTGAAGCTCAGATGGCCAGAAAGAATAAGCAAGGAGGAACTCTGGCTGGCTGGTTGACAACGAACCAACCAAGAACATATTGCTCAACAAATATGCAGAAGGAAGTGGAGATGGATTGGGCATACACTGAGAAGGCCGACTGGGGACATCACGCGTCAGACAAGGCCCTCGAGTGGTACCCCGATGAGAAACGACGAGTTGGGTGTCCGAGGAGAAAGTGACATGGAGGAGGTCGTGCGAGGAGGAAATGAGAGCTTGTGGAACCAGGTTCAAAAGCTTTCAGAGAACAGAGCGCATTGAAGACGTGCTACTGAAGCCCTATGCTCCATTAGGAACCCAAGGGACAAATAATACGACTAAATAGGGAATATATTTAGGAGGAACATAGAAACAAGTTTGTGTAGAGACTAAGTGGAAGTTTTACTAGGTAAAAAAGCATTCCTCGTATTCTGAATATCGAAATTTTTGAAAGCTAACAGTTAGAACATAATTACTTTACATGAGCAAATAAGCAGTTTTCATCTTCCTGTCGTTTTCATATGCATGAAACATTTTTCAATATATTTGCCTCTCTCTTGTCCAACTTATTCTTCTATTTGTGTAAAAACCTACTATTAGTTCTTGCATATTTATTCCCCTAATCCGTGTTTTCAACTATTTAATGTCGGTGTTATCTATATTTCAAGTCGACAACTGTGTATTAGAATGCTCCAAGTGTGTAAACATTTGCATAAATTAGCGTTATTGATTGTATTACACCATCGTTGATTGGACCTAATTGATGAGTCTCTGTTGGCATATGGGCTCTTGTGCGGGTGCCTCGATATTGCCTGTTTTTTAATTATGTATACTAATGATGATCAGTTTTTAGCAGTGGAATTCAAGATGCGCATTTCGTCCTATTTGGGACTCATCGGCTGGATATACCTGCCTCCCAGTGAGTGACGTTGTTTCCACCGAGACATTGATGTTGAGGTTGCTTTAAGTGTAATATCTTTGGTTTGTAATGCAAACACGTATATAATAGCTTCAGCATCATAGTAAGCAAGTACATGTTTATTTAGGTACTTATTCCATGTTTAGAGAAGGCATTCAATCTTATTCAAACAGCCTACCAACAACAGCTTGAAGAGTAAATGTATTTTCATAATCGAAATATTTTGTTTAGCTTTGAAACTAGAAGCAATCAGTTCCTATTCTGATGAAGCAATACGACGTAATTTGTTTGAACAATGTTTTTTATCCACGCAATACATTCCAGACAATCTGATCACTCGTTTTTCCCATGGTGAAGACAGCAAAACTAGACCATCAGATACTGCTGATAGGAAGACTACAAACACTTGTGATAACACTTCAAAACATTACAATAAGGTCACAATTTGCACAACCCAGTGTGTTCTGCTCAAAATACATGCCAGTCGATATCTGCTAACTTGACGTCGTGGTCAGAGACGCAAATCACAATGACCCAAAGCGCTACACTGGCTGGAACGCTTGTTCTACCATGCCAGAAAAGTCTTTTGGATAGTGGTCAGATAAAAGGTAGTTACCGTTGTAGTGTAAATTGCTATACTATGATGGCGACTCTGAGAGCGTAGTCATACTGCTGGCTGGATAGAATGTGACGGCAGTAACGTGTTTCCTTTGAGTGACTAGTAATGCCACACCGGAGCCATCTTCCCTACGTGAAGGGAGGGTTAGAAAAGGTTGGTCACAAAAATAGCACGCTCCTCCCTTCCCAACGGTCTTCCGGTCACAGCGGTATGGGTTTCCTCTACACAGTGTTAAAACAAACAAAAGACTGCATGTGGCAGGCCTCAAGCGGATATCTAACGGACTCAACAGATTTTCCCTTTCAGGTACTTTAAAAAGAAATGGCTTTTCACGATGTGGGTAGCCTGCGAATGTCAAACATCCACACGCTCTCGTCAGTAAATGAGGTGCAATCAAAAGTAACCTCTCCTTCATTTGCCTTCACTTCCGGACACCAATATTAAGCCTGTTACACCTTCCTTAACTTCACACTCTGTGACCATTACCAACGATCAAAGCCATCGAAACACCGCTCGTAAAACCACCTCATCATTTTGGAGCTTTCAAAGTTCAAATTCTATGCTAAATCGGACAGGAGGCATCGCTCACCAGAACTGAGGAATCTCAACCCGTGGATTTATGGTGTATCTCTGAGACACGTAAACAGGACTGGAGTGTGTTTATTAACTTAAGCTCACCTGGCCATTGGAGTGAATCTTCAAAATCCACACGTTCATGACTTTGCCTTACGAATTATAGTACGCAAACGGCTGTGAGGCTCTATTTGAAGATGGGAACGTGAACTGCTTATCAAGGGGGAGATGGCCAAGCATTTAACTAAGCGTAACAGCAATGCTCATCCTTAGGAAAACTGGTGTAATATTAAGTCTGCTGTAGAAACAGCGGCGAAGACAGTTGGTAAACTACATCCAAAATCAACAAGGCCAATGGATTTCTGAAATGCCATCCAAACTGATTGACGCGAAAAAATTCATTCCACCAGGCTCTGACCAAATTGATGAGTAAAAACAGCTGAAACAAGAATCGATCATCAGTTTTTGCTATGATCCCGAGCAGTGGTGGGAGCGAGAAAGATGAAGAGACAATGAGGATTAGGTAATAGCTGGAATTATTTAAGCCTAATAAGGATACTGCCAAGAAGACGATGGTTAGTGAGAACACCAGGAAGGATGGGTGCATGATAATCTCTCAGGACAGACGGCTAGAACAGTGGATGCAATACTTTGAAGCAAAATTCATCGGTTGCCTACCATGTAGCCAGAACTTGAATGGAAGTAAATGTCGGTCCTTGAACTGTTCGATGGGTATGCTGCGTGTTCCTAGCCGACATCAATTAAATGAATTGGTTACGAAAGTACTTTGAAATATCACTAGAATAACCTATGGCGCGGGATTTAATAATCATACAAAAAAATAAACGAGAAGAGAGGCCTGAAGCGAACTGTACACAGAAACCTTTTCCATTAACGCCTAAAACTTACTGAAACAGACTTTATTTATTGAGATTCTGGGATACGGTTAAGCAGGTGCACGAAATTAGGATACTAAATGAAAGATATGATACCCGACAACCCGCTCAGCTTAAAACAAGGAAGAAAACAGCAGTGGATTGAAGACAGTTAACTTCGGTCGAAGAGAGTAAATCTAGGGGCGCAACTCTTGCTTTTACATACAATGTAGGCTTCCTTAGAGCGAAGAGACAAATAGGTATATTAAAAACGGAAGACTAAGCAATAGGAAAATAGCATTCTTAAAAGATGTTAAAATGAGCGACACATGTGAGGTGATAAAACGCGTGTAAGAGATAATTCTGACTTTCTGTAAGGTAAATTTGTGAAATCTAGGCATAACACGTTCATTTCTGGGGGTTTAACAACCCCAACGATATTATAGAAGGATAATACAGAAATAAGTTTAGTGACCAGAAACAGCAGTAAATTTGAAATTATAAAATCATGTATCACACTTTTTGAAACAAAGGAAGAAAATGCTTAAAGTAGTGAGTGTGAATAACAACTGGGAAAAGAAATGCATTTATCACCACACCTTAAGACTGACAAGAAGACATGGTCTGTTGATAAATTGAACCACGTACAAGTGCTGGATTCGGTCCATGAACAAGAAGTGGATTAGGACCTTGAGGTATTACACGTAATCCCAGCAAATTAGGATTTGGACCAATCGCCTGGTATCGATGACATTTTTGAGTTGGAAGAAGAGACTCTGTTGATTCACTTGTAGATCCGATTGACAACTTACTCTAAAAAGAAGGAGAGTAAACTGTTATGTATGTTTAAAGGAGTTAATTAGAGTATCCTTATTGTGTTTCAATTTACTTCTCCTTAAACAACCGACGCGATCGCTGTCGCTAACTACCGATCTGTTAAGCCACAAAAACATTGCACAGAAACAAATATCGATTCACATATGTTATACATTTCAACCAGGAACCTACTGTGAGGCTCAAAGTTAGCTGTGCCATTAGGAATTGTGATGTCTTCAAGTTTTTTTTGTCTCACGGTAAGTACATGAATAAATATGTAGAACAATGCATACGCAGGAGTGCTTAAAAATCAAAACGCTTAACAAACCACAGAGTATAATACAGTAAGATGCGAATCTCCGACAGATACATATTTGCAAATGATCACGTACAAGTCAAATATGTTTAGTACATCTGACTGTCCACAGGGGAATTGCATCAAAAACAGGCGAAAAAATTCAATTAACAAAAAAGAATTCAAACAAAGAACGTTCAGTAGACTAGTAGCAGGCCTAACAACTTTTCCGAAAGCCTAATGAATAACTGCCTAAGAAAACTATACCACAATAATTGTAAACAGTTCTGTTACATATGAACGACAGTCATTGAGTAGCTTCTTCTCAAGATTCAGTTTTATATTGGCAATTATTCCTTTAATAGATAAGTGGAACGTGGGAATTCCAGAACTCTCTGATGTAAGTGACATTTTTCAGTAGAACTTGCACAATTGAGAAAATAAGAATGGAAAAACAGTATATTATTGTATGAAGTATGTGTGATCTCTGTATTGATTATGTTAATCCAAAAAAAAATGAATCCATAGGAGGGATATTGACAGCATGTAGTGAACTTCGTTTGACACTCCTAAACCGGGTGATAGAAAAGTTTGATGACCATTAAAAGTTATGACTAAGCAGGAAACTTAAAAACTCTATACGACTAAGTCTGTTGATCCAGTTGTGTATAGGCAAGGTAAAGGAAGCTAAGGAACACTGAGCTATTATGGAAGGAACTAAAGTTTTCTTAACTAAATATTGAAGAGAAAAGTAGGATGAAATTCCATGAAAGCTAGAGCAACTATTGACGCGTTGATCGACATACACCTATTAAAAATGATGAATTGTCCATCACGACAAATCTTAGTTAAAAGCTACAGTAAGTAACCAAATGTTCTGTATTTACATTTAAAGTGAATAGAAGTTGCTACAGAACAAAAATCAAGAAAAGAGCCGACATTTAGTAGCACCTACGTAAACACAGAAGCGTTAGGAAGGAAGAACTTATGGTGGATCTGAGTTTCAATAAAGAATTTCGATGTTATTCAACTCTACGGCAACTTAATTTAAGAGTTACGCAGAGTTCTCGCAATACAATTCCAACTAGCTAATCTACAAAGAAAAGGTAAAAATACAATGTGACATTTGCATTTTCCTAACTAGTATCAGATTACTCTTTCTGTGAAATCTAGGAAAAGAGTAGACAGTGACTGAGGGAATAGATTATATCAACTATGCTCGAGAGTCAACCATACTGCTGAAGATAGATGCCAACATACACACAATATTGAAGTCTAAGCTACTGATAACATCAACGAAGGAGTCGACATTTCAGTACATACCATAAACTCTAAGAACAAACAATCTCTTTCAACAAGATCTAGGTCAAATGCACGAACTTAGAGAATTCTAAAGTGATCTTTGTATTTAAGAAGTGAGGATTCCTCACCCTCGTAAGGGTTAAACCGTTTTCCGTTGACATTACGGGAAACCAAAACAATCTTTTTGATTCAAATAGCCTCATTCCCATTTGATCACATCAATCAATCAATCAATTGAATTATGAATTAATTAGCCCACAGTTAGAATTCACTGGAACCAGTACTCCACACTGAGGAAGGAGATAACAAGGATTGTAGCTGTAATATGTATACTTCAGACAGTCCCAAAAATATATCATACAACCAGTCCAACCAAACTCAGTCATACACAGCATTAAGTACGTGTATTTACAGAAACACAGACTGAGTTTCACTTAAAAGATAATCAATAGAGGTATAATACTATTCAAAGTTGTATAAAGCAGCAGTAATCAACAGGAATATCGTTATACATGTACTCAATCTTCACAACTCATCCTGACAACTGATGTATACATCATATGTCTGTCTGAACAGCTGTGAATCATCACAACAGTCTTGAAAGAAGTTATATGTAATGCAATCATCGCTTTTGGTATCTGCATTCGATCCCAACTACCTATAATATTGTCATTTTGAAACATAATCGTATGCATACCTTACACCAGATACCGTGGGTAGGCATTTGTCAGTTTCTAAAAGTATGATCACAGTAGGAAGTTACTCTGAATGTCTGTTTATTTGGTTTATTCTACCCGTTTCGATTTGAGAGTGGTAACATTCTGTTCACACATACATTAATAATAATATTCCTGTTGAAGTTCACGATTTATAGATTATCCGAAAAAGTATCAAAAGGACTGGTACATACAACGGTTGAGTGAATAGATTTTGATTCATTCACACATAAAAATTATGACCCATAAACTTAGTTGAGAAGACGTCCGACTAGTCAGTGTATAAAAGTGCATATAAATGCCTGAATCCATTTCGTCACACTTTATACCAACATGCAAAGAAAAATCAAATAAGACAATAATGATATTTAAGTATAAAAAGCGCACAAGACGAGAAATAAGAGACAAATAAAGGTTAATGCAAACATTCAAAGATGATAAAAAGTGTATACGTCTGCACCACCGTAACCATTCCTGAGCCATATCACTTCGATTTTTTGTTATATCCCTGACTTGACAGCTTGGTCGATTATTCTGGTCTTAACCTTGGCTTGGATTTCCTATTGGATCCTATGACTAACGGACTGAAAAAAAGCTGAACGCTGATCCTATTATTATTCGCCGAGTTACTATATGCGAGTTGGCCCACAGCCACTAACATCATACCAGCTGACACAGAGAAAATATGAAAGTAGATAGCTAGACCATACACAACGCACCACTACACTGCATTTAGCAAAATGTACGGAAAATATACAAAACCTTAAAAGCATAGGTGTGATCAGAATTTCAACTTATGAGAACGATAAACACCTAAAGTGCAGTCCTCATACGTTAGTTGTTTCTCCGATTCTTAATGGGTACAGACATAATGGTCTTCAACCACTGATTCCTAGAATCTAGAGGATATCAACCAGCTAGCATTCATCTTGCTATACGGTGCAGGACGAGTTAAAGACATCACGGATTGGTGTCCTACATCTTGTTCTGACCACTGTTAGTCTTCTTTTAATTCAATCCTACTACGGTATTCATCGTACATTGAGGTAAGCAGTGGCTTGGCATGAGTAACACGTATCTAAGTAACCCCACTCGGGAAAGGTTGCTTACTACATAAATAGGCTGACCTGTCTTCTCCCGATTTCAAGGGCAATGTTTCCACCTGCACTGTTGTGGCTGATGTGGAGTTACATCACTAAGCAAGTAATTGATGATTTCACTCTCAAGACCTTATATCTTTATATATATATATATATATATATATATATATATATATATATATATATATATATATATATATATATATATATATATATATCCCTACACGAATAAGACTGACAGTCAAGGCTTCATTTGACTTGGGACATTTCGGTCTGGCCAACCCTAGTTTTTTCCAACCTAATCCTACGTCAGCCAATACCCAAGCTGCAGATAACCAACTAGTGCAATTGAAACATGACTTTATACGACTTTTGTTGATAGGCGATGTTTAAAATATTTACACTGTGGTATGGATGAAAAAAGTTGATTACCGAGTGATGTTATGATGCTGATAGACAGTAGGATTTATGCAAAAAGGCTATCGACATGAGCGTAGCTAAGTCAGTTTATCTACGAAACCTGAAATTTGACTTCACTTACAAGATTTCTTGCCTGTGTGGAGTGTAGGTGAGAAATACAAGGTTACCAGTCTTGTCATTAGTCAAGTTTCTTAGTCATTATGTTATATGTCCCTTGGGTTCCTAGTGGAACATACGGCTTCAGCAGCACATCTCCATTACATCCTCTTCTCTGTAGTCTTTTCAACCTGGTTCCACGACTGCCCACAACATTTCACTTCTTCCTCATATGATCTTCTACATGTCACCCTCGACTCAGACGCCCAACTCGTCTTTCCCATTTGGGTTCCACTTGACGGCCTGGTCTGGTGCGTGATGTCCCCTAACCGTCTTCTCAGTGTATGCCCAACCCATCTCCACTTACTTCCATATATTCAATGGGCGATGGGTCCTTGGTTGGTTTGTTGCCAGCCAGCAAGAGTTCTTTATTGCTTATTCTTTCTGGCCATCCGATCTTCAGTGTCGAGTGTAGGCGGCAGCTGTTGATGAATGTCTGTAGTTTGTTGCAAATGCTTTTCGTAACGCACCAAGCTTCTGAACTATATAGAAGCACTGACTTGACTGAATTAGTGTTGAAAATCCGGATTTTGTTGACGCTTTATGCTGAGTGCAGTGCGGTGCAGTAGGTCTCCAGACTGGTTTCAGATTAATGAAGGCCTAACTCGCTTTTCCAATCCTGACTTTGATGTCCTCATCTGTGCCAGTGCCTGCAGTTGAAACGATGCTGCCTATGTAGGTGGAAGAGACTACTTCCTCCAGGTTTCTTCCGTTAATGGTGCTTGTTGTTATCGCTGGTGTTGTTGGTTGGGTATCTTCATCACCTGTCTTCTTTAAGTCCACCAGAAGCAAGTCCCATCTTTCTTCGCTGCCCTACCTCTTCTGCCAACTTGTTGGTTTTCGCCTGTAGATCTTCGAGTTTGTGCGACAAGACATTCGACATAAATCATCATCGGTGAAATCCAAATCTCCTAGGGTCTTTTCATCGGCACAGCGTATGATCCTCGTCTCGCTCCTCACGGTTTGTTGCATGATCCAGTCCAGTCAAACACAATCAGAAAGATTATGGGTGATAGTAGACAGCCTTGTTTTACTCCTTCCTGTTTTCACTTCACTTCAAAGGCGTCACTGAGCTTTCCATTGTAAATTACTTGGCATGTAGCATCTTCATATAGCTATTGAATGAGGTTGATAAAGGTTTGCGGTACTCCATAGTGTTGAAGCAGCTGCCAAATTACTTCTCGGTCGACGCTGTCTAAGGCCTTTTCAAAATCGATGAAGTTGAGTTAGAGAGTTGGCTGACAATCTATGCTCTGTTCTATGATGGTGCGTAGCGTTGCAATTTGGTTCGCACACAATTTGTACTTCTTGAATCCAGCCAGCCTGTTCCGGTCGTGATTTTGAATACAGCACATTTTTCAGTCTCTCCAGAATGACGTGGCTGAATAGTTTGCTTGGGGTGGACAGGAGCATGATTCCTCGCCAGTTCTTGCAAAGACAGTTTATGCTGCCCTTCTTCCAATCTGGAGGTATCTTCCCTTCCTTCCAACCCTTCTACAATAGTGGTGTGAGCGTGTCCGCTGTTGTCTCTGCGTCTGCTTTTAGTGCTTCTGGAGGAATTCCATCTGGTTCTGCTGCCTTCCCAGATTTTAGCAACTTCATGGCGTTCAGGACTTCAGTTCTGCTTTTATCGGAGGGCTTGTGTTCACTGGTAATTCTGTGGCTGGGCCCCTGGTGGTATTTCTGGACGAGTTACAGGTTGCGGTGGTGGTGGTCGATTCAAGAGTTTTTTGAAGTGGTCAGCCCATCGTTTCCTTTGTTTCTCCTCTCTCTTTGGTAACTAGGTTTCCTTCACTGTCTTTCACTGGTTTCATCTGTGTTGATCTCTTCCCTTCCAGATAGCAATCTGGTTATTTGATATAATGTTGTCAGGTCTTTCCTACCTGCAGCCTGTTCTGCTTCACTTGCCAGGGTGTAGTAGAAGTGTCTTTTGTCTTTATGCGCACTCTTCTTCAATTCTTTGTCCAGTGTTTTGTACATTGTGTTAAGTTTCTCTTTTCGTTGTTCATCTTTGCACTGGTTTATCTTCTGTTTCAGTATCTTCCCCCCTCTTCCACCAGCTTCTTAGTCATACCCCATTCTAATCTACTCCAAATGAGGATAATACGAAGTTGGACGATATGAAATACTCTTGGTTAGAAAAATTTGTAAATGGATGAAAGAAGTTAGAACAAGGTTTTTAGTTAGTTCATATACTGTAGAGTTCGATCTATCTGTAACGTGAAGGCTTTTACTTGGAAAACAGGTTTGATTCAGGTTGCCTACAATCTCTATCGTCATCAACATCTCTCCACATACACTACTAGCCAAGCACAACTAATGTCATCATCATAAACTTCAAACTCACCAGTCTATTTCACATGAAACATTTAGAGAAATTAAATACGCTTACCGTATTTGGTGACTTTTTATTTGGTGATATGACGTTCGCTTCTTCAGATTGGTTGTTGCTAACTACATTAGTTACAGCAGTGTCAGCGTGATTTCCTAACGACAGTTTACTAGGAGGGAAAAAAGGGTTAAATTACAGAAAAAATAACGAAATCCGTTAGCATTCGGAAAACTATAAATTAAGTAATCACTGCTGGAATTTACAACTAGTGAGTTATTTCTTAATACCATCTTAACAGAACAGAACAATTTTGCATAGCCTAAAATCCAACACACTAGGGAAAAAGATAAATAATACTGTGAAGTAGGACTTTACTAGAATGAATATAAGTTAAAGATCCTACATTTCACAGTAGTATAAGAGAGAGAGAAAACCTATCACATTGGAATGATACGAAAAGGAAGAGACATAAACTAAGTGAAAAGAAAGACTAAAAAACCAGGCTGCTCAAAATTTTGAGGATAAGAAAATCAAAGGTAGCTACACTATAGTAATCGATTTCACGCTAGCATGTGAAAGGTATCAACTAATGACATTCGATACCCCTAGAACTAACATTAGATATATTATAACGGGTCAGGCTTTGTGTCCGATGAAGTTAGGAGAAAACAAAGAAGGTAATTTACATTTACAGAAAACAAAACAGCGAAACACATCCTATCCAAAGAATCAATAGAGTTTAGTTTGTGATCAGAGACTATGGTGGTGGGTATTTTGAAATCTCTTTTGGGTGAACAATAGTTAAGTAAATAATTGTTCTTAATAGTAGCAGACATTGGTTACTCAGTCAGAAATCAAGATATGAGTTGACCAATCAGAATGGGCCACTTAAGTGGTGAGACATTCAAACTACAAGCAGAATTGTTATACAATAATCTACTTCATGAAGCCATATACTGAATGGCACAGGTTATGTCAGATTGATCATAATGTTAAGGAGTATAATGCATACTCATAATTTGCACTATTTTAACTAAATTTACGTTTTCATATCCTTCTCTAATTCACTAGAAAAAACGAAGGACTCTAAAGATCACCCTAGGAACTGCTGAGATAACTTACCATATTTTTTCATTTTAAAAACAACTAACTTTCCAGATATAATACCGAAAACTAATTGGTTATTTTAGCAGTTGCCAGTGTGGCTTTAAAAGTCGCTTGTGAAAACACCAACTGTTTGAGAGTTCCAAACATCCATTATTCCAACAACTCAGGACGTGTTAACACATCAACACTGTTTCAAATTGTAAGCAGTTCTCAAAAAGCAAAACATGGAGAACACTACAATGAATCAGCATAGATTAGTTCAGTTTTATAACTATCTGTAATTAACTTATTATTCTGTTTACGAGAAATCAGTTTGAATGCTTGTGTTGTTATAGACACATATAATGAGGCTAGGTACACTACTTTGGATAACGCTTGTCATAGCCCACTCCACCTCTTTCCGAAATACTATGAGAAATTATCTCCTACCTTAAGCAAAGAAAGTGTATGGGTCACTTCAGTAGTTGCCAGTGTTACCCCTTTACGAAAGAGCGACTTTAAAGGTTATCCTAGCAACTGCTGAGCCAATTACTTCCCTATATTTTAAGGAAAGTTACCATTCCAGGAAAAATATTGAGACCTGACTGGTTATTTTAGCAGTTGCTTGGGTGACCTTCTGAGTCACTACTGTAAGAAATGTTATTTGACTAGAAAGAATGTGAGTGATTTTAAAGCCGATCTTTGCAACCACTGCGGTAGTCGATTTGGCGTCTGTCTTTCTACTGAGAAAGTAATCCCTTAGTTAAATAAAGAGTAATCGATAGTTATTTCACTAGTTTCTGCAGTGGCCTTTACAGTCACTCGAGTGTGTTAATTCTAAATCCATCGTAATAGATTGATAATTACCGATGAAACTATAACATTAAAAAGAAGAGAACAATTACTTTCGAATAGGTTTTTTAGACAACCCTTGTTCTACTTTGAAAATAATTGACTAAGAAGGTAATTTATTATCAACTGTACTTTTCCGTTGTTACACTACATTGAATTCATTGGTCTTTGGTGGCATATGGATCCTGTGGGGATTTCTCGATACTGCCTGAACAAAGATCTATTATCTTATGGTTTGCTTGGTCGTGGCTAGCAGCGAGGCCCGAGAAGCGTGTTTCGCCCTATTGGGACTCATCAGCCAGATTTTTCTATGTCCGAGTGAACGATGAGATATAAACACGGCTAGCTGATGAGTCGCAAAAAGGGCGAAACGCATGTCGTGTAGTCCAGAACTAGTCGCCACTGAAAAAATCATGACCAAAACAAATCCATCTTCTCATGACTGAAAGTTCTAAAATTAAGAATACTGAATACGTTCATTCTGGTTGACTGGATTTATATACCTGAACTGATTGTGCTCTCCTGCGTCGATCTAAATAGATGTCTGTAGAATTGTATTCTGACTGAGTGAATGAGTTTGAGAAAACTATCTGAAAGGTGGAAGATTTTCATTTCAACTTTAACCATCACTTAGTATCAATATTATAAGTCTGCAAAACCATGGCTAACTCAGATAGTCAAACAGATATTCAGATATCCCGACTGCATTATATGGGAAAGATTTCAGTAAATAAATTTCTTTTCTATGTTTTCAAAATACACTGCGATTCGAATGTTCATTTCTTAAAAACATTTGCCATCATTTTGGTCGTAATAAAGTATCTCAGTAAAATACTGAGCAATTAAGACAATGCAAACGTAATGCATTTCAATACACAATACAATGCATTTCATATCTACAACAAAGAAGGTAAAAAGTGAAGCTTACTTACTTAATTTGTAATGGTTTCTCATCAATTTGCTCCGATGTGACATTCACTTTTCTGACTGGTTCACTCATAAACACATTATTATCATCGTCATCATCTGTTAATCCCCTTGAGATAAGCAAATCACATTTGATATTTTTATCAATTACTGGTGATACACATGTTGATGAATGATACGATTCACTATCATTCTGTGAGCAAACACTTGACTTTGATTCACGATTATAATGATGATGGGAAGATGTAGTTTTTCGTTTAGAATGACTATTGGTTCTTGATGAGTTTGCTTTGCGTGTATCACTTCGACCACGTTGTGTTTTCGTAGTGGTATGATCAACTAATATATGAGAAATGAAAACAAAGTGTGAATTACTATAGGATATAGGCTGTCTGCCTTCCATATGTTTTATGATTTCTGGTCCTCTCATCCTTTTGACGTTAGTCTATAAACCAAAAGAAAGTATATTCGGTGTATTCTTTATACGTCTACTCATCCAAGCTTAAAGAGATTGGTCTTGTCTCATAAAACACCTTAGTATATCTAGACACATTCTCGTTAGGTGAAGACGCTAACAAGATGCAGCGTCTTCTGAACACCTTGAACAGCTGTTTAGCAGAGCATCCTATATATCCACGGAGTTTGTTGATCAGCATACCACCCACTACTGAGACCGAGCTACTTACTACGACTGGAACGTGAGGCTGAATGACTTTTAACAACCATCTCACATAACTCATCTTACAGATTCTAACAGGAACGTTCAATGAAAACAAACTTGAAAAGAAATACGCTAACCCGCTGGAGTAAAAGGAGAAGATTTGGCGAGAGATAAACAGTGTTGTTAAATCTCACATTCCTGTTTAGAATCAAGTTGTTTTTTTTCATTTTTATGCAAAATAAAAATACGGGGAGGTAATTCCAACTTTTGATGGAGCTCAAGAATTCTATCCATGAAATAACCGATAACAAGTGAGTTGACTGTTCGCTAATTTCTTTGGTTTTCAGAAGCCTCAAACACTTTCAGTTTTTATTAATAATTGAATAATACAACGAATGCTTCGATTTTCTTTTGTACGTAAGAAGTAAACATTTTTCTAATAGCTTGAGAGCTACAGTCATAAATGCACGTCATGGTTTACGTATTCAAGCTTAGAAACTAAAACTGGTAATCATCACGAAGGAGTTAGGCATCAAGTTTTCTTGTTTAGCTTGGAACGTATCAAATTAAAATGTAAGTTTGAGGTAGTATTCCTCACGGACTAATATTAGTGCTCCTAGGTTTTCAATGGTTTTCCAACTAATATCAGTCCGTGATGAATACTACCTCTAAATTAAAATCTCCATTCATGTCAAAAATACATTACTGTATAGTGCTTATTAGCGACATGCTTCCAGATGGAAACCACGAAGGTCTAATAAGAAGCCCTGACCTGTGGCGTCAACCAATCAGAAGGCAAGCGGATGCCAACTGAAGACCTTAGGTGATAGTTGCACTATATCGCCAATTGACAGAAGTTGAAAACTGTGAACTACTGGACTCCAACACAGTGGATGAATGACTAACGCGATCACCATAAAACCTAAGCTAGATCTTTGGCCGGATCATGGGTGCGTTCTGCTGAGAAGTCTCATAATAGGACGAAACAGCTGTCCAGTGCTCCCAAGTTTCCAATGCTTCTCCAACTAATGTCAGTTCGTGATGAATGTTACCTCTAAATTAAAACCCCCATCAAAATCAAAAATACATTAAAAGTAAGTTCTTCTTTCAGCACCACTCCTGAAAAAGAGGACCTATTGGATCCTGTTTTATGAGTTAATAAGATCATCGATCCTCCTTTTAATCAAATGTTGCACTTAAGGGGGTTAGAATCATGGTCAAACTATGAAACCATGGTGCACATTATTAATACTATATTTAAGCTGTTCATACTAAATTTTTCCTACTTCGTTAAATTGCAAACACATGAAGAAATACATGAAACTGTCAAACAGCGAAAAATGATCATAAACAACACAATTTATTGTAATCTTATCAACTGTTGCCTCAGATATTACCTACAAAACTCCTATTGGTTCTAGTTCACTCAATCAGTTGCTCATGGACAGCAGAATTCTGTAGTCCCGCCGACAGTATTTTTTCTCCGGATGCAATTCGTACCTCGGTATTATAAAAGTCAAACAACTGTTTTTCTCTTTTTAACTTCGAAGTCACCAATTCTAACAAAAACACAAATCAGTGTGGGCACACATATCACGGAGACTATTTTATGTGCAAAACAATGGGAATTTCATGTAAGCTACCTGCATGTATTGTTATGAAACTGTACAATATTCATCAGAAATTTCCGGTATTGTGTTAGATCCTCAAATGCAGATCATCAAACGTTGGTAAACTAAATGTGTTCTCGAAACTGTTGAAAGTCTAATTGAGTTAAAGAATAACATAAACTCGCGTGTTTGTCAGTAGTACACAAATAACAGCCAACTCCCTTGTAATTTCATCAGAAAACGCTTTCATAATCACAATTGAAACAGAGAGTTCTACAGTTTGAACATGTAAGGGACTGCAACTGCAAGTTTCGTTTGCAAACGCAGTTTCTTTGTCAGTACCTAATATTTCATGAACTACAATTTCAGGTTGAAACGACGGATTACGCTTGGTTAGAGACATTCGATTATGTCTGGTTAACAATGACGAGTGAGAAATACGACACACAAATCACTATAACCATCAGTGCCCAGATAACTAAGAAGAGTGAACATCGTAAAATATCTTGGTTGCATACAAATTCATCCCCCAGATTTCCATAACATTGTCTTCGTCATATTTCCATTAGCTCAATTCTTGTTTCCACGGATTTTTGTTGCAACTGAGCCCTTTGCAAGCAATATTTATTCTTTAAATATGATGACATCTCCAATGGTTTAACAATATCCAATATGCACTTCAACAGTCACAACTCCAAGTGAACTAGGTTACACATAACAGCAACACAGAAATTCAAAATATGAAAAACGATTTCAATGATGTGAAAGCGAAGGCAATCTTTCCATTGTCAATATAAACCTTGATGCTATGACGTCAATTAGTGAGGACAATGAAAAGTAAACCCACGATGCTTAAGACAATGTACCAAATAAAATGTCCCTTGTTATTACAAGGGATAGTTGAAATAAGAGTCAAAAACACATAAACAAGTAACACTAGGGAAGCAGATCAACTATACGGTTACGGCACCATCTACTTCCTTGATCATTCAATTTTGAGCATTTCATTGTCATTACTATCTATGATTCGAATTTCGACAGCTGTACACGCAAACTGATCTCTTCAACTGACACCTGCGTTCTATGGGTAGGTTTTCAGTCAAAATTTAGCTGAAGGTAGTTGGAAATCGGCTAGGAGGAGCAGTGCAGTCACTGATATTAGCGGATATACTTGTGTTATAGTGTGTAACAAGATTACCAAAATCTTCGTGTGTAGCCGTAAGGCCCTAAAGCCTTTTCAACCAATCGTTTCGCTTCGAAGTTTCGGGAATTAACACGTGAACCAACATGTAAATATCAGGTTGTTTGGAGAGACAAAATATCAACAGGATTTAAATCTAGAAAGGCCTGAAATAGCTAGGGCTATTGAGTATATATTTAAGCCTTTGCATTTTGCATATTTTTGACGTTGCAATTTCGTTTATAAAAAAATTGAGCGACTGTCAAGAGGAAGAATCTGAAGGTTATTGTTCAAGAGTCCGCATTACATATATACATAATTCAGGTTATACCAAGTAGTCGGCACAATGATATAACAAGTGGCGACTGGAGTTACAAACGCTACAGTAGTTCGAAACAGCTTTAAAAACTTTAATCCCAACGCTTCGGTCTGGGTGCACGGACAGTATATCAGCCGTTACATAAAATATGAAATTACAGCATAGAATGAAGATTTCGAAGCGTTCACCCAACTTTCTTGTAAATACCCAAGCCTTCTGCACTACGAACACCATAACCAGATGTTCAATTTGTTAGGAATGTCCATATCCCTTATATTCCATCTTTACAGTTTGTATACATTTGAACTAGTTTATTCGCGACTTTTTCCCGCACATGGGTCATATTTTGCATGACTGGCTATTGTTCTGATTGGCTCTCACCTCTTTAAGTGTACTAATTATTCGTTGTCTTTCAAGGTTACTGTAAACCATACAAATAGGGTCGGTTTACAATCCGAGATACTATAAACTCATCTAATTTCCAGTCTTTTGATTTCTCTTCACGAATTACTAGGGTTGAATCGTCTCAACCCTCGACTATCAATCGTTAAGTATTTCCGTTCGTTCTCATAACTCCACATCATAACAAATTTAATGTTATAACATTGCTTTTCTTGCATTTACATAGGAACTGTATTTTTTTACGATTACCATTTTCGGTTTTGTCTTTGTTTTCACTTCCCTCAGTTGCTCTCCAATGCTTAGACTTCCGGTCTGCCTGTACCATTTCAAGTCTTTAAATAGTTGCCCTTATAAAGCTGTCTCCTAGTGAGCCATCTGACACAGCTATCTTGCAACCACACATACCGTTTAAGCTCGCCATCTTCAACGTTCACACCTCGATGCAGATCGGACAACAGGCAGGCTTGGTTAGGACTCTGGAAAGCCTCACTATCGATGTATGCTGCATCTGAAAGACCCGCATACAACATCCCAGTGAAGCGCTTCGAATAACTACCCTATCTGTCAGCTCGAAAAGTGTATTTCATGTGCTCCTAACCAGGGACCCTGTGGCATCGGTAACTGACCTCCCTGGTATAACTGTTGCACTAAGTGCCAAAGCCACAGGTGGACTAGACGATTGAATCTCCATCAACAGTCGTCTGTGTGCTGTCAGGCCAGAAAGTTCATATCGAGTACGAAGTAACCAGCAAAAGAAACGATGTCTCTTTGTCATCTCCGCCTGTGCTCCGAGGGATTGCAGCCCCGAATGTGACAAAGGATGAATTCTAGCATCAACTGAGAGACCTTCTCGACCACGTACGCTCGACAGATATCGTAGTGCCAGCCGGGAACTTGGATGCGTGGGTCAGTCGTCTAGGCTTAGAAGAGAGTAATTTAGATGGCCAATGGCAACTAGTTAACCATAGGTCTGGTAATGGGGGTCATCCTCTGCAGCTTTGCATGGATCAAAACAAACTTATAGCCAGTAGAAGCCCTCTCATAGCCGTAGCCCTTGTGCCACTTGGCATCCTCCTGCCACTTAAGCCTAGATTCAAGTAGACCACACTGGGATCAGCTGTCGATGGCGTGGGTGCATACGAAAATGCTGCTCAAGACAAAGCACCTATCTGGACTCCGATCATGCTTTAGTGTGCCAGGCTCACCTTGTGTTTTTGTGATCATCGAAATCGTTATCCTAAACAGGTCGATGTAAGCAAATTAGTTGCACCTAGCACTGCAGTTAAATACTAATCCAAACGAGATTCAAGGTTAGCTATCGATAACCCAGAAAGGGTGAACGAGGGATGACTGCACTTGCAATACGCTAATCTGATCCACCTTTGGCATCGCCGAGACATTAGTCTGACCAAAGAATCGGTGCCAGTTCTGCTATACGCCCGTGAAATCTGGCCTTTCCGTACTGAGGATGCGCGCGACTCTGCGTCTTCGATCATCCTTGTCTCCCTATGATTCCTCGTATCCGGTGGCAACACCATGTAAGTAATTCAGAAGTACGACAGCGTGTGTTTGAGCGATGGAGAGCGTCATTACATAAATGAACTCCTTTGGAAACACCGACTTCAGTGGCTTGGACATTTGTCGCGTGCGTCATCTCAAAGGCTTTCCATACCTTTGACTGTTTGCCAACCCTATATTCAAAACCATGCACATCATCACGTTTCGATGGATTACCAGAAGTTTATAAACCTGATGTCCCTCTGAGACCAATAGTGGATTTTACAAACTCTCCAATATATGGATTATCGAAATGTCTAGCATCATTACTAAAGCCTCTCCAATACTGTTATTAGTTTAGTTGAAGACTCGTATGAATTCAATTCAAGAATATCGGAACTATCCACTGAAGAGAATGAAACAATGGTAAGTTATGACGTTGTTCCACTGTATACTAGTATTCCCATTGAAAATTGTTTAGAATTTATAAGCGAATTGCTAGAGTGTGATCATACGCTGGCAGACAGATCTCCGTTGAACCCCAGCCTCATCATGAAACCAATTAAATTTTGTTGAAATTCGGCATTTAAGGTTTAAAGGGAACTTATATAAACAAACTAATGGAGTAACTATAGGTTCTCCGGTGTCCCCTATCGTTACAAACTTATTCATGTCCCACATGGAATCCATCATCTTTTCGAATGACATCAAACCATGTATTTGGCTCAGATACGTGGATGATACATTTATAATTTTAAAGAGATCTGACCTCAGGATCTTTTCGAAATTAATTAGTACTCATTCTCCACACATTAAATTCACGTGCGAGCATGAAAATGCAAGCGATGAACTACCATTCTTAGAATGTTTAGTTAAAAGGAATGGAAACGGAAAACTTAGCTTATCGATTTATCGTAAACAAACACATTCTAATCGATATTTTTCTTTCAACTCAGCACATCCACTCAGTGCTAAACTTTCCACTTGCTCGGAATTTATTCAGGCGAGCCACAAATCTCAACACGAATGAAGATGACGGACAAATGGAAGTAAGAAACATATTAGATATATTACATTCCAATAACTACCCTAAGAATGTCATTTATAATATTCAGAAACATGAGCAGAGGGATCCGAGAGGAAATTCAAATGATGACTCCTGGATTAGCACAGTAGTTTTACCATTCCACCAAAATACAACTAAAGAGCTGAGAAGATCCTTAAAGAAGCACAGAATTAGAGCCTGTTACGAGACAACCAGCACTCAGAAATGCTCTAGTCCACTTAAAAGATAAAATCCTGTTTACCTCCACACAGAATCGTGTGCATAAATTAGGCTCTGATGATTATGATGCCTATTGTGTTGGGGAATCATCCCGTGAGATCCCCATTCGGGTTAAAGAATATGCAAGTCACACAAAATGACCGCTAAATAATCTTGTAGAACTGCAGAATTTACAAATCAAGTCGGCGATCGCAGTTCATGCCATCTATCGCAGTCACAAAATCGATATTGAAAATACCAAAATTATTTGAAAAGGTTTTTCAAACTACAATGAAAGAAGAATAGCTGAGGCATTTCATATTATATTGAATCCTAATGCACTCAACGGAAAGGAGAACCTAACTATCCAGCCAACCTGGACAGTATATCCAAAAATAGCACGTCACAACATACAATGATCAGAATAAAAGTGTACACACACAAAAAACCTAATTCGTCGTCCATAGTATTTTCCCTACACATTCCCACCCAGTCATATGTGTACACATTAGCATCACCTGGATTAATATGGGATGACAAAGAGAAGTTTAGACGCCTTCTGACCAACATATCATGTGATCTGATTTGTCACTGCTGACTATTTAAACAGTCGATAACTTGTACAGGCTTTATTCCGTGAAGCGATTTCCACGAAGTCGCGAAACGTCATAAAATTATTTTTCTATTTCATTGGGATTTTGCAAACATATTTTATAAGTAATGAATATTTTGTTTTGACCGTATGTTATTGAACTATCTAACTTATCATTTTATTCTTACTGTGCTGTTTTTACGCTTCGCTTCGCTTATGGCTTCATAACTGTTATACTATTTTGGTGTGGAGCACTTCTGAGTGCCTTTGCTGTACCATGTTTGTGTTGTAAATGAAAATTTTAAAAGTAACTCGTGAATGAGATTGAAGAAATGTGACACAACGATTGTGCTGAAATTGAAACATATCAATAATATCTTCACGCATACAGACTGTGAAGTGAGTGCGATCCAGTACACTTATATGTTAGAAAATGATCAAGAAGAATTAGCCACAGATTGCAAAGTAAAATGAGGAAAAGATGATGGTTTCGATACGATTGTTTACAAGATAGCAACACGCTAACAGGTCTCCCACACCCCAGGCAACTGCATTCCATATCAGTCACAACGAGTCGCTTAAAAAGGAGACATGGAAAGCGAACTAGTGGATCGAAAGACACCAAGCTGAATACGAAATAAACACATCTAATGCGGAATTACATTTAACTAGTCCCTAAATTTTACTCATATACCATAATTCACTAACTGCTGGGGACATCTAATATTATATCAATAGCGAATCATATACAGTCAAGTGTGAAAATAAAAATTGATATAGATTTGGAGAAATTAGTTCAGAACAAGATACCCCACTTACCATTTGACTTTGGATTGCGAGACTTTGAACTTTCAAATGACCTGGATAAGAAATAAATAAATGTGCAAACAATGCCAGAAATTATCAACAATGTAACAGGAATAATAACCTTAAATTCGCTTTCAAATTGATAGGACAATCTGTTATGTAACGAAGAGCGAGAGGAAACAATAACACCTTACACCCGAAAGAGATACACTTAAGGCAAGGTCAACCCTGATTCCGATAACTTGATAGATGCATACATAACGAAGTCAAGGAGAGAAGATCTTGCAAACACCCAAACGATGAGATCTGTGACTGTTAAATGGTTTTCATCTATTTAGATGACTTGATAAATTTGGACGAAGCGAGAATGAGATTTTCTAAATAGATGGTTTTCTCTAGTATACACGATTTAACGAAACAGGAAAATATCTAAACACAAAGAAATGCAAATCAACGAGGGACCTTGAACATTAATGCATTGATTCAAGTTGTCATACTTCACAGTAGTAGGCAAAGAAGAAGTGGATAGAAAAGTATATTCAGGTAGAAAGAGGTGTATGACAAAAGAGTGAAGAAAAAAATAAAGGTCAGTGAAAACGTCCAAGTCTCCGAAGGTGAGGAAGAGTGTGCCAATATAATGAATTTTGAGTCGTTTTACTGATAGTGTCCAACTATTACTACCAAATCAAAACCTCAGTAAGGCAATCTGCATTCTGCTACAAGACTCAAATCAACAGTCAGAGACTTTGTGCACTGGTGTTTCCACCGGATGTCAAGACTGCTATGAAGACAATGATAATCGATATGCAGAGTCGTCAGACATCCCCAGCTCAAAAAGGACAGGTTTCATAGTTGTAGAGCTGAGCTGTCTGCATTGAGGCGTGGATACATTTCAATGGTAGACCAATGTCACGACAGTGTCAAAGGTGAAATGGATTAGTGTTTTGCTCTATGACTTTCAATAGACACTTGGAAATCTGCTGTCACAGCTCCACCAGCACTAATGCAACTACTCAGGTACACAAGGTCTTAAAAAACTTATACCGGTCGACCAAAAAGAGTTAGTGAATGTACAGGCCACCACCAGCCTTGTAGAAGCACTATACACCTCGGTCACGCGAAGGATATAGCATCCTTATAGACACTCATTCCTAAATGACTGAATACAATTTGAGTAACCTGTATGTAGTTGCACAGGTGCGAAGTTTTTGACCTGGTAAAAGGCCTATAACAGCACTGTGTCCTCCTTTAGAGCTGTCTTGAGAATGTCACCGGTAGCAAAGTTAAAGAGGAATCGCGAAATAGAACAACCCTGTTTAGTCCTGTTGTTTGTTATGAACAATGGAGATCGATGACTCTGCGCCCAATTCTAACTGCTGTTGTGAACAAAGCATTCAAAATGTTAACAAACATATCAAGTGAACCCCTGTCTAACAGTCAACTACATAGCACAGCTCTGTCTAACGAACTGAAGGCAGGCCTAATACCAAGAAAAACATCGATTGTTGATCTACAGTACTTGTACCAGTGTTCGAGCATCCGACGGAGGGTGAACACATGATCAATGCATCCACGACCTGAAAAAAACCCGCCCTGCTGCTTTCGTATTAGTTTTTCGCACGTTTCGCAGAGCCTTTGAAGCATAAAAACAGTCAACATTTTAGACGTAACTGTTAGCAGATTGGTAACTTGATGATTACTACGCCCAATACGTTAACCCTTTTTAAAGATGGATACAATGATAGCTTTATTCCAGTTATGGAATACTCTCAGTCTGTCACTTTGTCAAACAATAGAATAACTTCCCTCGCTACAGTATGACCTTCATCCTTAAAGAGAGCCGGTGGTCTTATGGTGCTTTAATACTAGAAATTCCTAACAGGCATCTACATCGCTAGGCGGGTCATCGTTTACTAACTACGGAAAGCAAGACACTAAAATCGATGTTGTGGAGTAGACTCATTAAATTGTATTTCGAAATGCTTCGCCCGACTTTCCAGGCATGCTCGAAAGCTGGCAATCTATTTACCACCTACTTAACAGAACGTTTCACCAACACCAGATCGATAAAAGTTGTCTGAAATTTTCATTTTGACGACCCATTAAAACAAGCAGTATGAGAGTATTTCGAGAGGATGACAATAGTCATCTAAACCTCCAAGATACCTGGACATGTGGACTGAAATGTCTAATTACTATTTATTTGAACGGACTGCATAAGAATTTTTTTGAAAATGGAGGTGGCAAACCAAGAAATGGTACCGATAAATGAAGCAACACAGTACAGGCTTATATACTAGGCTACGAGTTGCGCATAATGTGTGAAAGTTGATGATACAACCAGGTTGTCAAGGCTGAAGGAGGTGGGACGAGATCTGAACCTGAAACTCATTGCTTGAGAGCCAGAAGTTTACGCTAATGAACCATATTTCTACTGAGTTGATTCATGAAATCAAGCAGTTGACATTGTAGGTAATATGATTAGAATCTGAGACAGAAACGAACACGATCAGAAAAGCAACACGATACAGCTCAAAATCGATTAAAGTGACTCATGTTTATTCAGCTCCTACTATCAACTAAATACGTATTCGATATATCTCTATTTCATCTAATTCTTTTTCTGTTTAGAAGTAACTTCTTGCAACTGCTAAAACTAGTATTGCTTTTCTTATTTTTTTTTGACATTCACCTCAATAGGTTAATATGAAATGTGGGTTGGAACAGCTGTGCGGTTTGACTATTTGATCGCTCCCGTGTCAGTAAGCAATTAGGATACACCCATATGCCCATATCGCCTACATTAGTCACATCACTGATAGTAAAGAGTACAACAACAGACAGAATAAAAGTTGAAAGATGTGTACTACACGTTAAAACATTTAACAGCTAACAAAGGTCTGCAAAATAAAGGCTACACGAAATCCTAACTTAGTCAGCTTCTTAAAACTAAAAAGTAGTCAAAGATAAGCACCAACATAGATTGTTTAACCTCCTTACATGACAACGAAGTGAAATGATGTCAATATAATAGGAAAAGCAATTTGCGTGCAAGCCACTAAGTGTCTTATGGTGGTACCGGCAGCAAACAGACACCACGATACAGAATTTATTTCTGCAGAGTATCCGAAAGACAAAAGGCATTCGTTTTGCGTGACCACAGAGGAAGAGTGACATTTGCTTGAGACTGCCAATACACGACCTTTCCAGAAGTTTCAGGTCAGGATTTTGTTGTTCCACCACATATCGCCGGACCTAAAAGACCGTAGAGTAGGGAGTGTCATTTTCCTAATAACATCGCCATCGACTACTGACCACCCACGACAAATGTCTTACTGCTGTTACCACTCGTCCAGCCGGTACAACTTCGCTCAGGAACTCCCACTATAGTGTCAGCTGTTGACGCTGACGCCAACTGCTCTTAGTGTTACCACTATCCAAAAGAAATTTCTGGTATGATAGATGCTCAAGGGACTGTATTTCCATTGAGCACATCTTGGTTGATCATAGTGATATCCAAGCTTGCCCGTCACTTTAAGGTTCATTAAGATAACTCAATAGAGCTATGGACACTTAAGCTGCGAAAAACGACAGTAATCGGTGAGCTTCATTAAAAATTAAAATGCAGCTGTCACAAAAGGAACCCACTTGGAAAATACTTCAGGTATATCAAAAAATTCCCCAATTAAATCTTGCCGGTCACCGAAGGCCATTGCATAAGTATTCTAAAACAACATTCAAGTAGAGCCTTAACTACCAATAAGATAATCATACTAAACGGTCTATTTGTTGAGCCGCATAATATGCAGGTCTTGGATCATCCCAACTTGTTGTTTTATCTTCATGATTGATAAAAAACCTAATCATTAAATTTTCAGTAAGGCACGCAATACTGACAAACCAATTCCCAGATTCTGGATCACGTCTAGATTCCCAATTAGGAGGCAATGGCATGTCCGAAAAATTCTCCGATGACATGATTTATGACGGCAGAACTGAAAATATTTAATATTTCCTCCTTCACGAAATTTGCTCTGAAGGCTGAAACAAAGAAGTGTGCAGATAGGAAAAAGAGACAAGTGTATATAATGACCAGGTACAAAATAGAAAATGCACTCATTAACCGGAGACAGACACACAGACAAAATCAATGCAGAACCTCGCATACGAGTCCATTGGTTCACCTTGCCACACTTAACAGTATTCTACAAAGAACAGATAGAAGAAGGCATATCGAAGTAAACAAAGTTGTATGAGAGAATAAACAATTTGAAGATAACAGTTAATGTAAATATTCAAGCCTTAGAAGACGTCAACGAATGAGTATATCTACATCATTGTGACCTATTTCCCGGTGTCACCAAAAGCCCTCAACCACTGATTCCTACCGTCTCGTGGAACCCAGTCAAGTGGTCTACATTTTCCCACGCAACTCAGACCAACAGTTAGTGACTTCATCGACTGGCACTACGTCTTAGTCTGGTCACTCTAGCATGGCATGTCGAGGTAGGCAGTGGCTAGGCATGCGCAGTACGTGTTCAAACCATCTCAGTTGAGTAAGGCTCATAACCTCATCGATCGACTTCCGTCTTACCTAGTACCGTTCACCTAATTTCAACATGGCTCACAAGGTGATTCCACCAAACGTAAACGATTTTTCGACGATACCTGTAATCAGAAACCTGTAGTCACTTCATATCTTCTGACAACTGCGTCTCACAGCCGTATAACAAGACACAAGGAACTGCAGAGCAGTATACTCATCCTTTGACAGGTAGCCAAATAAGAAATTCCAGCAGTCGGCGCCAGAAATGACGCAAGTTGGCAGATGACAAATAGGCCTTGTGTATCCGAGCTGAAATTTCATCAACAACCGGCCGGTTTAGGCTAATACGACTGCCCAAGTGGAGTGGTTAGCGTATTTCATCACTTCACTCCCTATTCTTAAACTGGAAGTAGTTGTAGATCAGTCCTGGGACGTCATCTTACATTTGAAAGGTGTAAAACGCATGCCAAGCATCCTCAGATTCCCATTCAAGGTGTACAGTAGGCCCAGCAGTTTGCCACAGTCTCCTAGCAGGACCATTTGCGAACTCCAAATCAACCAAACGCCCACTAGGGAGTAGATCGATCAGTGTGAAGCCAGAGGTACCTAAGGCTATGTCTCTTAGTACGACTATAACGGAATTAGACAGGGACGGTGACAACAGGCATCCATGGCAGACACCACTGGTTGTTGCCAGTCCTGATGACAACTCCCCACTAGCCTTTACACGGGCTTTGACTAGCGTTATATACCTGCTTGGCACTTTTCTCACAGACTGCCACAAAATCTCAAAGTAGACGTAGTCGAATGCTACTATCAGGTGGAGAAATATGTTAGGTGTCGACCGCCGGTAGGTATGCTTGTCCTCCAGAACCCTCAAAGGGTGAAAATCAGATCAATGCACACCCGTCCAGGATTGAAACCCACTTTGTTTTTTTGAAGTTTGTTGTCCTTGAGCTTAAGTTAGGCACCGGATAACTACAGATCATAGGATCTTGGAGACGATATTACATGGGTCTCAGGGTTTTCACAAGAATTGGCTGCTTTCTTGTGAACTGGAATGATCAGCGAAGTAGAGAAGTCTGAAAAGACGGTCTCTGACTTCTAAACACTAACCAGTATTTTTATACCTCTATCCATTAAAGCTTGTAGTGGAAAACCATCAGGTCCACTTGTTCTGCATAGTTTCAGGTCACAAATAGCGCTCTCAACTCCGGGAAAAGTAGAATTACCAACACCAATGTCAGATCCAGGTTTCAGCTGGATGCTGGGCAACCAAATCCCGGTTACAAGTTAGTTGAAGTGTTCTTTAAAGTGTTCGGCCCAACATTTCAGCGGCCTGTCTTGAAAGGTTATCACGGAGTCATCCTTTTTGAGCGATGATTTTACTAACCTTCATCTTACCAATTTTTCTGATAAGTCGAAATAACTGATCAGTGCTACTCATTGGTGGTGCATTCTCCATCTCTTCTGCTTTCACCACCCGTCACTGCCCGCGATCATTGTGAAGACTCTTGGTAAATTTAAGCTGCCTTCGCTTCTCATTGTGGTTAGTACTAGCTGGAAAGAATTTTGTATCAATCAGTTCAGATGACCCTGTGAAAACTCACTGGCTTTTGCTAACCTTAGCACGGATATTACTTCTTTTACATCTACTTATTCAGTAGAGTGGGTATTACGCCAGGCTTCATAAGGAGAATCACTGACATGCCCAGATAGACGCTCAGCTATCTCCTTTCTAAACAAAACCTTCGCATTTTCGTCTTCTAGTCAAACAAACAGATACTTCATTGATGTTTGTTTTCTATGCTTAGCAAGAAAGATGAGTCCATACTAAAGCATGATTAAAGAGCAGGTACCTAAAAAAGTGGCAACACTTCGTTGATCCTACCAAACAATGGATTACAGCAATATGATTTGTGTTTACCGCTGATCTGATTTCGGGGAACAACAAGTAAGACAGTGTCACATTTTCTGAAGTTGGCGCTGACCGTAAGCAGGTGACTAGCAAAGCAGTTGTAAAAGACAATTACAACTATTAGCTTGTTAACAAGCTTCTCTGATTGGCTCGCTTCCCCCAGTTTAGCGCTGAAGTCGCCTGCTACTATGACCACATGTGAAAATTATGCTTCATGTATTGAAATGTACAGCTTTTAGTAATACCTTTGTATCTTCTGAACTACAGTGCAAATAGACAGGGACTGTGAATAAGCATTGACAAATGTCTTTCCCAGCCATTACACAGTCACCTAGTCGCACAGAAGTATATGAACTTCTAACATGTTGGAATGCAGATTAAATTTTACTGCGGATACAATATATTGAGTGCTTACATATTAGAAGAAACACTAGATTAAAATATATTGCTTTCTGGTTTGTCATTTTATTAATGTAACACTACGCCACTGTTTTTCATCAATAAAAGATCTCATTCTCGGTCGACTCAGTTAACCTGACAACTTATATTATGCAATCCTCAAGCATCCACTAATTTTGCCGGAATTTTCCTGACAACTTGGTACACAAAACATAATCGGTGGTTCCTTCTTTTTAAAACTGAATACTTTGTCAAAGGTTTATACCTTCAGAATTTTGAAGTCATATAGGCCTTACGAGATAATGAGGGTCGAAGAACAAACAGTGAAAAGGGAGGAGACCCGATTACAAAACCGAGGGAGAAATTACTCTGCAAACTAAAAAGGGAGAGGAAAAGAAGAAATATCACAATATTCCCCATCTTCATAGCGAATTATCTTCACGGCTCTTCACTTAGCATTTGGGGGAGAACTGAATATTTATGAGGAAGCTCACACTGAAGAAAATGGGCATTAACTAGAACATTTCAACGGTCATCTGATACTAATTGTCGCTTACCAACATGCAATCCGATGTGCACTTCTCAAAGCCTGGTTTGCGAATCCGTGTGAGGATATAATTTCCCCACTGAAATGGGAGTATGCCTTCACTAACAAGATATCTAAAGCAACCGTCGTCTACTAGTTCGACAACACGAAGTTTGGACCCAGTTAATAATTTCGTCGGACCAAATAGGGCAACGTTAAGCTACGAATCTGATATAGGGCCGGATGTGGTGCACATTGTGCCAAACTTTGATCCACTGCTTAAGTCGGGTCGGACGAAGGGTGAACAGCCAGTACGTGGGACCAGAAGACAGGCCATTTGTAAAAACTTAGGGGCAAATGTAAGGCCGAAAACCATCGAACTACACATGGTGGAAATGTTGAGAGACCCTACACCTGGCCCAACATCTTCCACAACAAACGCCTTAGTACTGTCTTATTTGGCCCCACGAAAATGTTGACGGGAAGAAAAAATCTTTTTCCATCTATAGATGGTAAAATATGACCCATGAAACCTGATTGACATATAAAGTGAGTGCGCAAAGTAAACACAATAATGAGCAATACAAAAAACCTTTTAAGGCAGATGATAAAGATCCATCTAATAATGCATGAAACCGCAGACAAACCATCCTACCCTCCTACTGAGTGCCGGTCGCCTGGCGCTTTTCTCACCTGCAATTGCGGAATCAAACTTCGCGCGAGGGAGATAAAGCGTTAACTGTCGTTGTTCTGATTGGTCATTACTACATGGCCCTCAAAACAGCCGTAGCACTAGTTTCTAGTCTTGTTAACGTGTAAGATCAGTTCTCACGCTACAGAGGTGCATCTGTGAAACAATCGGCATTGGTAAAGAAACATCGAAATGTCCTTCAGATCTAATGCTGTATAAGTCAATCTAGTAGCTGAATTCAGACAACTTACGACTGGCTGGAAGCTTACGAACATGACAGGTGCACAGCCCGCACAAACTTAGTGCTAACTTCGGCAACTTAGGGATGAATCCATGCTAAAAAAACTTAGAGAAAAGTATTTAGCAGAATTTTCCACAGCCTCCTAAGTTGGCCCGAAATTTTTTACAGACCGTTCTGCAGTTCCGTAAAGTTTACGACAGACACACGTGTGTGAAGCGTGCATCTAACGGTTCCAACAGTTGAGCTGTTTAATCAATTAAGTCATCATTAAATCCTAAAAGAAACCAACAGTTTGCCGCTTTCCCATAAACAGGGATGAGAACAATGACGTAGACCCGGCATACAAGCACGGGTATTCTGTTTTCCCTTGGTCGGTGGAGGAAGTCAGAAAGTAGCAAGCAGCGAAAATCACGGTATGTACCCCAATTAAACCTATTACGTATACATTATAGACCTAAGTTCTTGGGCCGCCTGCTCACCTTCTGAATCCAAGTGAATTCTGGGCGTTACGAAATTCTAAAGCCTGTCAACACCATACGCAAACACGACTTGTCGTCAGGGCCGCTGTTCGTGAAATCATGAGTTTAGACACTCAGTGATGGGCAGCAAGGAGGGAGTCTACCACTAATCTAACAGAATGCACCACCAGGTTACACTATTAATATGGTTGACGTGGAGTTCGGGAGGCTAATTACTTTTGAAACATCTGAGAAGCGATACACCCAGTTAATGATGTGACATGTTTATTTCACAGGGCGTTCAGGGATTCGTGACATAGACTTACTGATTGTAGAAACTCCAGAGACAACGTTGGCGTGCAATGTACTCTACAGCGATAGGCGAGTCAATGAGTTTAGTTCTGCAACTCAGGAAATGACAACGTAGTATAAGTTGTCAGTATGGACTCTACTCATATTACCCTTGAAGAACAGCATGCAACTAAACTTATCACCTTTTTTTCCATTCACCCGCTTTGCCAACTGGTTATCACGGGTGGCCTCTACCACAGCTTCCCTGTGATGCACAGTATAACTCACCAAGAAAGCCTGGTGGGTGTGGGAAATGTGTTGCATAAACGCTTTCCCCTGGATTTGAGCTCGCAGGAAATTTAGAAATGATTCACAGAATTATACTGCCAGAAGGCCGAGAAAGTAAAACGAGGTTCGTATCCTCACATGCAGTTTGATATGAGTCCGTCATCTGATCTCTGTAATTGCAGGCGGGCGACACAACCTCTGGTGTGCCGCGCTCTCTAACGAACTACGTAGTATGTTATGTGTGTTAAACTATCTTGGCACACGAAAATACTCAGGTAGCTGGGTTTACAGAGTCCTATGTAGTCTCTCCAGAAGGACACGAGTAATACGTAGTCGACTAATTTGCCTGCAAATGCTTCTGCGAAACCAACGCAGCAGTGCTAATATCCTGTCGTCATTTGATTCGTGTGCAAAGATTCCTGTCTTTTGATCTGGGTAAATGTTCTGGGGCTTTAATTCACTTCTTTGCAGACGTACTTCGACACTCTACAAGACAGTTACGAGACTGTCACCAGACACATATTAAACGTAACCAAGTGACTGCGAACATTGGGAAAGTGCTTACTTTGGCATTGATATATGAAATGCAGCTGTAGGTTCAGGCAAACTTGGAAAGAGCACGTAGGCAGTTGTTAAGGGCGTACACCAGAGCTTATGTGGAGCACCACCTACAGGATAGAGCTACTGTAACCCTGCGAACTGTTGAACACCCACTAACTACTTATATACATATTGCCCCATTCCTTAAGTATAATTTAAATGCATTTTTCGCGTATCCACTCTTCGCTGTTCGTTGAGACGTAAGGTAGAGTGAGTTATAGTGATACCAATAGAAGCAGGAGGAATTTTGTCACTGTTTGATGACCAACGGGTACGGGCTTTCAACTGACGACAAGTGCGTTATACTTTCGAGGCACGCCCCATCAACGGAAATCTGGTCAGGCAAGCGGTATAGCTAACCCTCATGCGGCAGGTGTGGTTTCTTGTTTGAAGTCACTACGTCACAGCTGAGTTCGTCAATTCGTGAGAAACACGCACCACGTGGAAGCCCCTTGCACTTGCTTCGCTTGCGCACCACTTGTCCCTAAGCATCGTGACATTTCCCTGTAGGTCTTGCCAAACCCCAGACAAACATTTGTCGTACTTCTTTGAAATATGGGCAGAAGCCATCAAGATGGGCAGGGGGTCTGGTACTTGCCATTTGCGCTTGTCGTACTTCATGTATGCAACCTGATAACATGCAAAGAAGCACTAGCAAGTTGTTTAGAGATTTATCTTCGCAAAGCAACATTCTTTACAAATACCTGCCTGGTGTCAAAGTTAGGTTCAAACGTCTATTTCTATACACCAGAATGTAGCTGACTCTCGGCATACTGCGCCTCGGAAACAGGCTTCATATTCTTGCGTTGCATGGAAGACTTTCCAATGCTTATTGGCAATCTAGTACCGAAAAAATAATGTTGGTGTAAGACCAGAAATTCCGTCCATGACTAGTGGCAGTTCATCGCACCTTTTACCACAGCAATACATGGTTCTAACACGCGGTAACGTTGAAATTATACGCTGCTTTTACACATGATCCTTGGTTATGTATTTTCGTCGACTCATTGTTGTGCTTGGCTCATTATTACTGCACATTTATAGTAATACAACGATCTATTCTGTCTGGATAATTTGAGGCCACATTGCAATCTATAGACAGTGTGTTCCCATCCATCCATTCCCATACTTTTACTATCAAGCCCACATCTCACTTAAAACCTATTTCAAGGGTGGGGTGGTCGAAAACGAAGTGCTAAAAGACAGATAGTTCTAGCCATCGAAATACAAGGGTTGGTTCTGCTAATATTCCGGGTTGTGACGGAAACTCTGCCGCGTCGTATGATCTAGATCCTGACGAACTTACATGCCTGACACCTTTTGTCAAGGCTGAGGACATTATGTTGGCAATGAATAATCATATCAAGGAAAATAGAAAAGAAATTGACAGTATTAAGTCCATGATAGATGGAATCAGGAGAGTGGTAGAGGGCCCCCAACCCTTGGCGCATTTTCTTGGTGAAACACAACAACCCAATCCCAAACTATACCGACGAAGCTGGAACCCTAGCGGACTGCTGCACAACTGAAGCACTGAAGGGACTGGCACCTCAGTAGGCTATAGTATATAATGTCCCAGATCCCATATGTTTGGGTATCGTCAGGAAAACGGTATTTAACTCATGTAGCTTGGCGGCTTTGCAGAGTCTGCAGACGCCTCTGCAAGAAAGCACCACAATTGAGTTGTCCCATTCTCTTCAAGTTCGCCACCTCATGTGCTGCCAAAAGATCCATTAACTATCAGGATCATACAGGACTAAGCAGCGATTTTAAAACTATTGCAACCGTACATGACAAAACCCCGTGTCAGCGCACAATTCTCTGCCACTTGAGTAGCCTTGTAGCCATGACAGCACTCGGCTCTCGATGCCCGACCCTGATGTTTTGTGATTGAGAATGGTGCGCAGGACTGTGTCGAAGGCCTTTACAAAATCCAGGCCAATGAGATGAACAGGAATTCGGAGGTCCCAGCATACCGTCCGCTTATCACCAGCCACCAGATGGTTTGAGGTGCACGATCTACTCCTTCTGAAACCATGTTGAGCATCACTTGATGCCCCTCTCTTATCCAGGCACTCTCTGGCATAGTCGTCTTCTAGGTTCTCCATCACTTGTGACACCATTGGTAGGAGCACTACAGGCTGGTAGCATTCTGGGTTCTGACTGTCCCATCCCTCGGAGGAGGGCAGACAGAATGTCACATTTCCACTCTCGTGGAAGCAAGTGCCTGTATCTGGAGTATTGAGCCAGATAATGGGAAGGACTCGTGCACTGTTTCGACGCAGTCAGGCGGATGTCATCATATCCCGGCGATTCACATACGTGGAGTTTCAACAGCCTTTCGGGGGCCACAGTAGGAATCACCTTTATTCCAGGCAACTCTGTGGCATTTATTAGTGCCGGGTGTTGGTTGAGCAGTCGGCATCTTTGGTTGGATGATTGCATGTTCGGGGCTCAGCGATCTCTGGTCCACAGAGATTCTCCCCGTTCGAGCCTTTCAGGGTGCAAGCTGCCTGGCTGATGGATTTTCTGCTTGCAATAAACTGATATGAGTTTTGGGGTTTGCCTCAAGCTGCTGGGCAAGGTTCGTCTGGAAAGACCTCCCGCTCCCTCTCATTTTGATGTTGCACCGATTTGTTAGAGCCAAGTACGTGGTGTGACCAGACTCTTTTCTGGAGATCCTCCACTTATGCCACGCTTTCCTCTTGGCTTTCAAAAAGCGTTCGGTGCATTGTTTCAGCCACGAAGTTCACTTCCTCGGTGTTGTTGTGACTAATGGGACATTTTCAGAGAAGGCCCATTTCGTTTTAGCTCTAACTAATCCCCAGTGTTGATCAGTAGAAAAGTCACTTCACTCCTGAGGCCAAGTTGCTGTCAACAGACGTTGGTTCATCGTCTGGTAGTTTGTCTTGTTGTAGCAACGACGAGGGCGAGATCCCTGCTATGACAATTGTTCAGTGAATACCAGATCAAACACTACCATGTCATGATCGCTGCTGCCAGGGGGTTTGAACCTGAGCATTTTCGGCCACCGACTAACCGATGTTAGGGAAGTAGTCCAGTTTCGACAGCTTTCCGCTCCACCTCCAGCGAGTGTCGTCGCTAATATTCATATGCAGCCCAGCCTTTTAGGCGGTGTTGAGTAACTTTTGGTCAAACCTCCACTCTAGGTTCTCTTGTCCTGTCCAAGATTGAGAGTTGCGGCA